GGGGAGAAATCCAAATTAGTCAAGGAATCCGCGGAAGGAAAGGAAGTGGGAGGGCAGAGCTGATGACTCATTCGTTATACGTTATATACGTATAATATCGCCATCCTCATTCAATAGCCTCGTTTCACGGAGCAAACGGTGTTAACAAGGAGACCGTTGACTCGTCGAATCTTCTATATAATCCGAAATTTCGTTCTCGGAAATATCTTGAGGCGTATTCCGGCGACGCGGTGACGCCGAGCGTCGGCGTCGCGTCCTCGCGCTTATATGTAAAATAATCCGCTATCCCCCCTCTCCCCCCGTAGGTGGGTGGAGAGGGATGGCGGCGCGTTGATGTCGTTGCACGCGCGAAAAGGGGGATGATTTTTGTACGGTTAATCGACGTCGACGTCGAAGAAAGTGGGCACATCGGGACGCGCGGGCATCGTGGGCCTTCTTCCTAAAACGTGTATACATGTGTGCGGTACCGTCGGCGACGTCGTCGTGGGTTATATCTTTACTTATTGATTGCTCCGGTGGAAATTGGCCGGCGCCGCCTGCGTCGCATCGGTCGATCGTCGGGTTGCAGGCTGACGTCACCCGGTCTGCCTCCGCGGGGGCTATTGATTTTTCTCCCTTCCCCCCAGACCGCGACGCGATTGGTCCATAAACCGAGAAAGCGGCCAGACACGGCCCTGGACCACCACCATCGTTGTCGATCGACGCGCGCACCCCTTTTACTTTATATATGTACGTTTAGATATAGGTATATATAAGATAATACGTGTGTGTGAGGGTACACGTGCGAGCGTGAATGTGTGTGTGTGTGTGTATGTGTCGACGTGTATCCGCGCGCGCCACGTTGATTCCAATTCAACCACCACCACCCTCCGGTGGTGCTACACTGGTGTCGCGATGTCGCCCGAGAGATAGGAAGGAGCCAGGTGTTGCGGAAGCGCGATAAACCGTGCCCGAAACACCCTGTAGGAACGCGGGGATGACGCGCGCGATTCGCGTTCCGACCCTCGCTCGGAGGTGAGGCCGTCTAGCTCGCCGACAGCCGATTAATCGGCCTCGCTCCCGAGCACGACTCATCGGCCATCCTTGGCCGGACATTGCGCGCACATCGGCGAGCTCACACACAACCGCCAGCCGACTTCCGTCCGCGCGCGCATCCGCACACGGGGAGGGAGGGTGACCTCCAAAGAATTTCCTTCATTTCGCGAAATGAGATCTCCCGCGAGAATGCCGCGAGGTGACTTACGCGAGGACGCGGGTTGAAATTCACGGGGTGAAGTGGATATTGAGGGGCCCCGACATAACTTCGAGTTTCATGTAACTTGGGGCGAGATTGCCTGGACGGCAATGGGCATTCTAATTTCACGTTACTTCTCTCCCTCTTTCTCTCTCTCTCTCTCTCTCTCTTTCTCTCTATTCATGCAATGTGGATCGATGATTCTCGAATAAGATTGACCGAACTTTGTCTATTCAAAAAGGAGGTCCCGTTTGAATAGAACGAAATTGTTGAATAAGTCTAAAACTCTTCTCATTATACTGCAGCGTCACGTTTGTCCAGTCTTCCTGACGATCGATCTTTGGAAATTCATTCCGGACACGATGGCGCGGTTTTCTCCTTGGAGTAATCATGAGAACCACTGTCGCGCAAATGAAGGATTATGATCTAGCAACGAACTCTGAGAACTTTAATCCTATATGTGAGAGGAGCTTGAGGCAACTTTAATTAGGGCTACGGTAAAATATAATTGATCGCCTTAAGGCGGAGAATATAATTTTTCTCGTCGGGAACATTTTATTAATGTACATGAGTCACTTCTCCACGCAGCTTCATCAGGGGAGGATGACAGGGTAACGGTAAGGATCGCCTCTCCGCCACCCTTTCACCTCCAACGGTTGACGCGTCAATGCGAAGGTCGTTTAAAGATTCTCCCCTGGACGTAACAGCCGATTTGCGTGCATCAGTTTGAGATCTTGCCGAGATTTTTAACGTGCGAAAAACGTTTTTCGGACGATAATCGTTGAAAACAGTTCTCACTCGAAACATTCACGATCAATCTGCGAGATTCAATCTCTAATTGCCGAGATTAATGAGATAAGCCTCGATGATTAATCTTCAAGTGGTGGTAGCGCGGACTATTATACGACTTCATATACGCGATAATCAAATCAATCACTGTCCGACTTTTTCACAAAGAGTCCCGTATTTAGAACGCTCCGACGTATCTACGCTTAATACCTTCTAAAGGCGTGCACAATGTACACACCGTTGTAAAAGCTCGAAGATAATAATAACCGATGTCTCTCGCATGCAGACGTGTGCAAATCCAGGTGACAACATAGGAGGGAAAATAATTGTTTCTCATTGTGCGATATGAAAGTGGACAATAGCGCGATGCAGAAACGCGTCTGATGTCCATTTTTACTAATGTAGATTAACTTTAATCTCAGTTTAACTTACTTCTCATTTTTTTCTAACATTCCTTATTTTTTCTAGGTATTAGAAAAAAATAAGGAATAAATAACATGTTGATCTATTATTGGTTGAAACGGACATAAAGGACATACTGAAGATGTTTGAAATATCGTTGCTTTGTGTGTGACATCTTTCTAGAGTTCTTCGAACTTTTCGGATTGTTCGAAACCCCCTTTATTTATGGGGAAAATTTATGGGGAAATGAGAAGCTCACGATCTATATTTGCGGATTGTTTGACGCACCCAATATATAAATTATATTCTCCGAAATTGGTTGATATTAATTAAGGAAATTAAGGCACGGCTGAAATTAATTAAAATACTTTTTCGTATCGCCTGCACGGTCTAAAAAAATGGTCAGTAAAACCAGCCGCGCGTAATTGACTCTTTTATAATTAGATTTATTTCATTATTTCAGAGTTGTTTATAAATCAGACTTATTTCGTCTCTCCGTTGCTCTTTTTAGCTTATTTAGATATGACGTCTGTCACTCAAACCGGGTCATGTGAAAATTTTAGTGAATGTCAACGCGTATTAAAGGTATTAAAGCTTTATTAATTGTACTAAATAAAAACGTGTCATTATCGACTTCATCTCACGCAACAATCATTATTGCGGTTTTGAAACGCTGATAAAAACGGACTAACACTCGCTTGATTTGTGGAAATTGCGCATTTTGCAAGCTAAATATATCATTGTTAATAAAAATATATCTGGAACTGAGGATTACAAGATTCACACATAAATATTATATATACTTATATAAGCATCAAAATCCGCTTCAGATCGTATTTAACGTTTCTCTCTTGTTAAAAATATATCTTTCTCATTTCTTTTTCATTTTGCACGACATCTGACTGACGGTTTAACGTAGAGCTTTTTAATAAGTATACGCCCAAATCCTTCGTCAATTTATTAATATTGGCCAGAATCTGCCAATATTTCAACACTGTCCGGTGTATATGACCTTCCCTTTTTTCGCTATTAAAAAATCAACGGTGTGGATCCAGTCTAATGGAGGCGCTTCTTGATCGTGCCTAAAAATTCACTAAACTCGTTTGCGTCAGTGTCCCGTATGATCCCGTTATCAAAATTTACTCGTGACGGCGTATCATCCTATAACTATAAAATAGTCTGAGAGTTTAAATGGCTCTTCATTATTATGTACAGGAGGCTTGCGAGAGGCGCGTGATAATCTCTCTGAGATATCTTCTATTCATTGGCGTAAACTAGATAAACGTGCACCTGTGGGGCATTAAGTTCACCCCTTCTCCGCTCCCTCTCCTCCCGCCTTTGCTTCTACACGCCACGCGAAGTAAATTTGCTGTAAAGCGAAAGGGAGAAACGGAGCCCCCGGTAATGAACGCTACATCAAGATTGACAAACTTAAATTTTCCTACCCATGCTTTAATTGGCTTTTTTTCGGATTTGCGCCTTTAAGCGCGAGGTCGGTTCGCTTTGTGGAAGATATATGCGTCCGCCTACGCGACCCTTATGTTTCGTGCCCCGACCCATTCAGCGTGGAAATCATGGAGCTCGCAGTTGCGCGCGTGGCAGAACAAACATTACAACCCCTTTACACAGAAGCCGCCTACAAGGCGGCTGGCTCGCTCGCGCGCGTGCCACGGTACCCACCCCTCTCTCTCTCTCTCTCTCTCTCTCTCTCTCTCTCTCTCTCTCTCTCTCTCTCTCTCTCCGGCGCGGCGGCGGTTAAAATGTGGCACAGTAACCTGAGACCATGGGGGTGCGACTGGGGGATGCTTTAATTTAATAAGGTACAGGATATTTTTATCCATTCGCGAATATTAAACACGGGCGACAAACTTTATAAAAAACGTTTTATAAAGGGTAAAAACGTTGCAGTGGATTATATAAATTCGATGAAGACATAAAAAAGGGATGATGCGGCGTAGGCATATGGACTATTTTTCGTTCGTATTTCTTCCAAAATATATATGAAATAGCTACAATAATTAAATGAGAAAAAAGTGAATTTAATGGTGTAATGGTCAAGATATTTTCAATTATATTATTAAACATTTTATTACAATCTTGAAATTAGATAACCATATACAGTACAGGGAAATAATAAGTATATGATTTATTCGACCTTAAAACACGGAAAATTATATAAAACGCTTCAATTCAAGCGTCATAATTTATTTTATCGCGACATCATCAGATAAACGTCAACGTGTTAAAAATAAAATCATCGCGCCTGAAACGAAACGGACGCGTGTTTAATTATTCCTACTGATTGATTACGACAGAAATTTCAAGTCTCTCGATCGTCGCAAGGAAAGTATCTATCTTGTAGAAGGAAGTATCGATAGCCGCGTTCGGTTCGATATCGAAGGAGTAGGAAAGTAGCCACTACCCTACTAAACTTAAGCATCCCTACCCCAAGCGCGCGCGACTTCGCGTTCCCGACGACGACGACGACGACGACGACGACGGCGCCGACGACGGACGAGGCAGCACGCAGGCGCTCGCGGCGGAACGTCGTCAACACTCGCCACGACTCGGAGGGTGGTGTTGCAACGGGGGTGGCGAAGCCGAACGTCCGCTCGGCGGACGGTAGACAGCAGGCAGTGCACAGGGTGGCTCGTAACTCGTATATATGCGTGCGCGCGGGTGTATACATCACGCGCTATAATGTCCGCCTACGTGGCCGCCGAGGTTCTCGCGGGTCGCGGATCGTCCAGCGGATGGCCGACGTAGTGACGTAGAGTGAAGTGGAGAACGCTGTCGTATACGCGCGCGTGGAAACGCCGTTCGCGAGTGCCGTCTGCGAAGTCTCTCCTTTTACGTTTCTCGCGCCGCTCGCACGTCATTTTTTTCTTCTTCGCGCGAAAAGGAAATTAAGGATCCCTCCCGGATCGCGCGACCGAGACATCCTCTCGGTTGTTTCTCGGCCCTCCCCTGCGCGGCGCTCTCCTTCCGTTCGCCGCTCGGAGAAGAGGTAAGCCCCGACGTCCGTATACGACGTCGTATCCTCCGAGCGTGGAGACGATCGATCGTAAAAATCCACATATACACACCGTGTGCCCGCCGTTCCCTCGCCTCTCACGCCCCTTCCGGACCTTCCTCCGGCGAACTACACTCGGATACGCCGTCGTATCGATCACGCCGCTGCCGCGATGGATGTTTTGCACGTCGATTACGGGGACGGCCTCGTAGAAGGGACGCTTCTTCCGGAAATCTGACGACTCTGATCGTCCCTTCGACTCTCTTTCTCTCTCTCTTGAACAGCTCTCGCACCGTGACCTTTTGCGTCCCTCCTCCGCGTGTTTTACCGAACACCCTCGAGAAATGGCAGACTCTGCCAGATGCTAGAACTCGAAGCTCCTTCGGTTCTTATACTTAATGTTGTCTGCAATGCTCAGCGAGCATTTTTGATTACACATCTTATCCATATTCATTTCACAGTAGAATTTCCATAAACGTATGATGAAATATTGCACAATATTATTAATAATTAATGAAATTAAAAATTATTATCATTGAATAGCACTACTTTTTATTTTACACGTCATCTTATTATTTACACCGTTCAAAATTTTATTAGACAATTATGTTTACTTTTAATCAGCGTTTTAAAACAATTTTAATAGCGTCAATCACCAGTGATCATTACGTCAGTCAACCTGTTAACTATGTATTTATAAAATAACTACGCTAATGTTAACTCGAGAGAAATGCGTTTTGCGATATGTATTTAACAAATTATCAATATACTATTTTACGTCTTATATGTATATTACATTTTTCTTTTCTGCTAACAGCGACTAATCGGGAAATCTGTTTCAAAGGGAGTAATTTTTGTCTCTTATAATCTCATTACCTTCCTTAATTCTCCCGTTCTTTTATTTCAATTTAAGTCGAGATTAAAAACGCATGACTTCTCGAATAATAATGAATACTAATCATGAAACGTATTAATTCCCTTCTTTGTTAGAAGAAACAGGCGGGGGTAAGTTTAATTAGATGATCTCTCCCTGCAGTCGCGCAAGTGCTGCATATTGAGAAGCTCCTCCGTCCTCTCGTTAGCTCTCGGTCGGACCTGATTACGCATTCATGCGAATTTTCACGTAAGACGTCGCAACTCCCGATAACTCATTTACGCGCGTATAAGTTGCGCAGTTTCCGTGCCTTCAAGTTCAATCCTTTCGAACCTTCGAGCGTATTGACAACTCATTGTTATGGACTTGCGGAGATTTGAAATATGCTCCTTTAAATAATACACGAAATTAAAATGAAGTAATTTCAAATGAATAAATTTAAATAATGCGTTTGAAAAATGAAGTAATTTTAAATGAACAACTTTAAATAATACGTCGAAAAGTCAAATAAGTTTGAAATGAACAAATTTAAAAAATACATCAAAAAAGGAAATATTTTTTTTTCGCACTTTGGCAGTATTAATACATTCGTAACAGCACGTACATTAATATATTAATGCACATTCGTATAAAATTGATTAATACATTTATTCCAATTATCGTCCTATTACGCTTTCTCCGCTCAATGTTCTGATAGTAATACATCAATATTACTTCACGTATTCCTCATATCAGCGTATAATGACGTCAATATACGTTCGTAATATGTGACATCCATCATTTGCATTAACATTATTGATTCGAATATTTATAGAAAATTAAAATAAAAAGTGAGTTCTCGATCACGAGCCCGATTCTTCATACGTTAATCATTTTTTTTTTTCTAACATAACACGATATCGTGGGATTCGATCGGAAGAATATAATCGAATATACCTGAAAAACTGGTTTGTTTAGATTCCTTCCTTTTTTTTTCGTCAACAAGTTCGTCTATTCTCTTCAAATGCTCGCGTCGAGAGAGAATATCTCACGTCTTTCGCATTAATATGACTCCTCCGGTTTCTTACAAATATAGATCGGTCACGGTACTAATTAATCATTCTCCCGTATCCGATAATCCACGTATTTCTGGACGGATCAATGGCCCGCACTATCCTCCGACGACGATTGTAAATATATAAGTTATCACATTCGGCCGATTATTGTACGGAATTGTTTGGAAGGGCTCCACCCGATTGTGGATAAAAAAAACTACCGTGTTTAAACGATACCAAACGACACATTTGTATAAATTCAAATCGTATACATTATTTAAATTTAAATTTAATAAAAGAATGAATGAATAGATCTCATTATTCTTAAAAAAGTCTGATATAAAGCGTCTTACCTGATTTCAGTAGTTCAGATCAACGGTTAACGATCCCTGCGTGTAAAAAATGCTTTGTACATGAAAAAAAAGTACTGCGCGTTTTTATTTTAATAAAAGCACACGTGTATCTTTATTTGACCCTCAAGAATGAGTTTGATGTAAAGTGACTTACAGTAGTTTTGATTTCAGTAGTTTATGTCAACGATAAACGATCCCAGCGCGTAAAAAGTATTCCGCGCATGAAAAAAATATACCGTGCATTATAAATTCAATAACAGCAGTGTATCTTATTTAATCCTTAAGAGCAAGTCTGATGTAAAGTGATCTGTCTCAGTGGTTTATATCAATGATTAACGGTCCCTACGTGAAAAATATACGTGCATTTTAAATTTAATAAATAAAAGTACATTTTGATATGCTCTTTAATGAATATTTAATGTAAAGTGGTCTATCTCTAATTTCAGTAGTTTAGGTCAACGATTAACGATCCCTACATGAAGAATATTCCGCGCAAAAAATATATCGTACATCTTAAATTAATTAAAGTACACCGTGAATTTTACATAATCTCTAAGAATGGGTCTGATATAAAGTAATCTATTTGACTTCAGTGGTTCATATCAATGATTAACGATCCCTACGTAAAAAATGTACCGTGCATTTTAAATTTAACAAAAGTACACATAAATTTGATATGCTGTTTAAGAATGAATATCTAATGTAAAGTGATCTATCTAGTTTCAGTAGTTTAGGTCAACGATTAACGATCTCCGCATGAAAAATATATTCCGCGCGCGAATATATCGCGCAAACTGCGCGCTACGTTTTTTTCGCTCTTTTCTTATTCATCTTCATGAAAAAGCGTTATATCGGAATAATATATTAATAACTGAGATATATTCTTAGATATGAAGACTACAGTTTTGCAGCGATTTTTTTTTTCACCGCGTACTCGCAGCAAACGACGTTGAACGACGTAAAACTGATTAATTCGATAGCGGTACAATTGATTTAATTCATTTGACGGGACTCTTATTTTTTTCATTGCAGAGAGACGAACGAGAGAGAAAGTTATCGCCAGCACCGCCGCCGGCTTGATCCGACGTTGAGTTGAAAAGAAGAGGAAATAAAAAAAACACAGGAAAAAATGTCGTCGGTTAAGGTGGCGGTGAGGGTACGGCCCTTCAACTATCGTGAGATCAGTCGCCAGGCACAATGTATCATAGAAATGACGGGGAGTACTACTTGTGAGTGCCTACTTCTAACACGCAGAGCTCAAGTCGAGCGACTTGTGAAATAATTATTCGTTTATCGCTCGTACATCTGACCGTTACTTTCTTCTGTTACAGCCATAGTGAATCCGAAAGCTACACCAGGAAGCAAAGAAGCGACCAAGAGCTTCAATTATGACTATTCCTACTTTTCTATGGACGTAAGTATACCCTTTATATATATATATATAGGAGCTGTTAACACGACAATTGATGTTTAATTGATGATTAATTTTTTCTCCCAATTATTGCAGCCAAATGATGAGAATTACTCGACGCAGCTCATGGTTTACAAGGATATCGGTGAAGAAATGTTGGAACACGCTTTCGAAGGTAGATATTAATTAACAGATGGATAAAAGAGGCGGTCTTCTTTAACAATTTGTTAAAAAATAATTTTAAAAAATAACTGAGCGAAAAGTGTGTTTTAGCTCATATGACTGAATCAATAATTATTATAAGAAATGTAATTGTAAACAGTCATATGTTATTAACTTTAATTTTCTCTCTCTATCTCTCTCTCTCTCTCTCTCTCATTTTAGATAAATTTATAAAAATAATTATCTTTCAAAACAAAATGTGATTAGTTTGTATTGATTTTATTGTAAATATGATCTAATTCTTCATTTCGTTATGCAGGCTATAACGTTTGCATTTTTGCATACGGTCAAACTGGCGCCGGTAAATCTTACACCATGATGGGCAAGCAGGAGGAGGGGCAGGAGGGAATAATACCACAGATTTGCAAGGATCTGTTTAGGAAAATCAGCTATACGTCTAACGAGCGACTCAAGTACTCGGTAGAAGTGAGCTATATGGAAATCTATTGCGAGAGGGTGCGCGATTTGTTAAATCCGAAAAATAGGGGAAATCTTCGGGTAAGGGAACACCCACTCTACGGACCCTACGTCGAAGACCTCTCCAAGCTGGCCGTGCTGTCGTACGAGGACATTCACGATCTCATAGACGAGGGTAACAAGGCGAGGTTCGTCTACGTTCAGTGACTTGAAAATTATGCAAAAATCGTTTTTTTTTTATAGCATACGTTAGACGATAACACATACTATTGGAAATATACATTCTAGGACTGTCGCAGCGACCAACATGAACGAAACATCTAGCAGATCGCACGCGGTTTTCACGATATTCTTCACACAACAGCAGCAGGACAGTGCCACCGGTTTGATGACGGAGAAAGTTAGCAAAATATCGCTGGTCGATCTGGCCGGATCCGAGAGGGCCGATTCGACGGGTGCGAAAGGGACGCGATTGAAAGAGGGAGCCAACATTAACAAGAGCTTGACGACTCTCGGGAAGGTTATCAGTGCCCTGGCCGAAATTGTAAGTATTACTTTGCTTATATCCGGGCGTTGTATTAAATATATAAAGTATTATATTCACGTCGTTATTTTACTTTGTTTGCTGCTTTGGATTGTCAGGCGGTAAGTTCATTGTAATTAATATTATAATTTAAATAATAATTAAAGATTGTAATATATTTCACGTTGAATTAATGTATTGGTTGCGTTTTATATTAAATTTTAAACCGCATGTCAATTTTCGTTTATTGTTCCGTACGCTCTGGTGGAAGCGGTTTCTGCAACATCTACCAATAGGCGCGTTGTTCTGTATTGTTCTTTTTTGTTTCTTCCTACCGCCAAATTGTTTTGTTAGTCTTACGGCTTACGCAGAGAGTCGTTGTGATAAGACGTGAATAAAGTGCATTCGCAGTGAATTGAGTTGCATCGTTTTATATTCGATAGAAATAACGTTTACATACGCACGTGACATAGAAAAAGCCGAAGTATTTCTCGAGACAATGTTTAATTGCGTAATATGTAATGGTTTTCTGCAAATTTTCGTTTCTCCGTAGGCGACGAAAAAGAAGAAGAAAGCCGATTTTATACCATACAGAGACTCCGTTTTAACATGGTTGTTGCGGGAGAATTTGGGCGGAAACTCGAAAACTGCTATGATCGCGGCGGTGAGTCCTGCCGACATCAATTACGACGAGACGCTTTCAACTTTACGGTAAGATTTATTATTCGCTATATATTTTCTAAAGAACTGCCTTCCGCAGTTAATTAATTAATTATTAAGTTGCTTAGGCCTGAAAGGGCTAAAAGGCTTAACGTTTTATTCACAGATACGCGGACCGAGCGAAACAGATCGTCTGCAAAGCCGTGGTCAACGAGGACGCGAATGCCAGGCTTATCAGAGAACTCAAGGAAGAGATACAGAAGCTGCGGGAACTTCTGAAGCAGGAGGGCATCGACGTACAAGAAGGTAAATTAAAGACGTCGGTTTTTAGAAAATCATTAGAAATCGTTACGTAAAATCGGATTAGAGGACTTTTTATTAGAAAGCACGTACGGACGAAGACAGACTGCATATAGATATGTAAGATTGAATAACAATTAAATATAAATCTTGAAATAAAAGTCGTCTAATTAAAGTTCACTAATGAACAGAAATATGCAGAATGTTTAACTGCTATCCGTCACAGATATCATATAATTCACTTTTCTATTCTGCCAATTATCGACTAATATAATAGCAATATAGTGTTATAGATTATATAATAGAAATTAATTCAGAGAGAATCACAACGCACGCGTCACAAACGTGAATTCTTGGCTGCTATAAACTAACTGCAATTGCACAGCGCGCGACAGGCAATCCATTCACATAGTATTCTTCTCTTTGTTTCCCTTGCGCTCGACGTAGGGCCAGATGGCAAAGTTACATACGAAAAGAAAGATAGTAAGTAAAAAAAAAAAATGCTAGCATTGCAAGCAAAGAATACAGCCAAGACAGGCATCTCTTGCGCCTCTTTCGTAGACATTTTATTGTGTTTGTTTCGTTTATGCGCTCTTATTTCATCGCTACAAGCGCATAATACTTGTCAGTGGTATATATATTATGTCGATCTCTTTTAAAAATTTTTTTTTTGGTACTGTTTGCTTCGCGACTTTCCTTTCCATCATTTACTGTATGTATTTGTCCTTGTTAATGCCTATATATCGATTGCGCTCCCCTCTTCTCTCATGTCTCGTACAATTAGCAACTTCTCTGACGAATCTCGAAGATTTAAGTAAATCTAAATTTAATCTAATTTAACTGATTATGCTTCCGTTTATAAAAGCAAGAATGTATTTCGGAAATGAAATGTATACGTTTATGGAAGAGAGAGAAAATGTGACAATGAAGATGCCATCCATCCAAGTCGGATTCATAATCGAAAGTGCATATGATAGATACCAAACAGCAATTAGATCATGCTTACATTACCCATTAGAGCATGCCGGTGCTCTGTAAAAAAAAAAATGTATCAGTCTACTAGTTACACTCCTATGTTTTTAGAATGAGTATGTAGCAACAATACAAACTCTTACAGCTTCTGGAATACTTTACTTCATCTACGCCACCGCTTTAATTATGGCTTTTGATGTTTATACGACTCACGATACCGACTCTGACGCGCAGGCTTGCTAACTTTAAACGTTACGACCGATTCTCGACTCCTGACGATCCTCATTTTGCAGGGGACGAAATTATCAGAACGAACAAGCGAAACGAGGAGGACAGGGAGACTCGACCGAGGATTTCCTCTCACACCACATCCACCATTGCCGAAGAGGCGGTCGAGCAATTGCAAGCGTCCGAGAAATTAATCGCAGGTACGTTGTAACCGCCGAATTGTTCTGATGTAGCCCTTGCTATTCCTAGCCTTCATTGATAATCAATAAATAGGCAGGTAACGCAGAAATTAACAAGCAGCCACGTTCTTTATTGTATTCTATTTCCGTTTCAGAATTGAATGAAACTTGGGAGGAGAAGCTGAAGCGAACCGAATCGATTCGCCTGCAACGCGAGGCGGTGTTCGCCGAAATGGGAGTCGCCGTGAAAGAGGACGGCGTCACGGTGGGCGTCTTCTCCCCCAAGAAGACGCCGCACTTGGTGAATCTGAACGAGGACCCCCTCATGTCGGAGTGTCTGATCTACTACATCAAGGACGGATTCACGCGCATCGGTAGCGCCGAGGCGGTCGTGCCTCAGGACATCCAGCTGTGCGGCCCGCACATACTTAAGGAGCACTGCGTTTTCGAGAATCACGAGGGTATTATAACTCTCATACCGAAGAACGGAGCGTTGATCTACGTCAACGGTCGCGAGGTGACCGAGCCACTCATCCTGACGACTGGCTCGCGCGTCATCCTGGGAAAGAGCCACGTTTTCCGATTTAATCATCCAGACCAAGGTACGCTGTATTCGGATTTATTTTTTATGTTAATGCATTATAGATATTTACTGGAATGTATGAATAAAACATGATACCCTTTGTCCTTAATTCGCAGTACGCGAACGGATAGCGAACGGATCCCCGACAGAAACTCCCGGCAATAACGAGCCGTTAGCGGACTGGAATTTCGCGCAGGTGGAGCTGTTAGAAAAACAGGGTATCGATCTAAAGGCTGAAATGGACAAGCGACTGCTCGTACTGGAGGAACAGTTCCGTAAAGAGAAGGAGGAAGCCGATCAGCTGTTTGAAGAGCAACGAAAGGTACGTGTAATGCACGAATCATGCACAACATCGTGTCTTTTTAATTCGTCGTTTAATTATCGTTTCTGCGAATAGAGCTACGAAGCGCGGATAGACGCGCTACAGAGGCAGGTGGAGGAGCAAAGTATGACAATGTCTATGTACAGCAGTTACACGCCGGAAGACTTCAATAACATCGAGGAGGATATCTTCGGTGAGTGTGGAAAAACGTATCGCTTCCGAGTGTACCAATATATTTTGATGCAGCTATGCCCGATCGACTGGCGTCGTCCTTATTTTATCTTTCACGTAACTCCCCAGATTTACAAGTATCTTTCACATCATCGAGAGTTTATTGCATGACCTACCTGTCTTGTCGATAAGATATAGCACATTCAAAATATACTTAACACTTTGATTTCCAAGCTGATTTCGGCACTGAGAGCTTAATAAATCTAATATATTATATAATGATATATTAATAATTATTTTAATACTTTAGTGTTTTTGAATGTCTTAAAATAATTTACATTACTCCTTTAATGCTTAAATACTTACAATTAATAGTAAAATCATTCTTAATCGGATCAATATAACTATAACTCACAAATGACTGACAAAACCCCTTGTGAATTTTATGCCTCACTCAAATATGACATGGCAGTCAAAGTGTTAACGAAGTAATCGGTATTATCTCATCAAACGCTTGGCTTCTCTGACTGTTTTGCCTGGTAATGGCTTGCATTTCAGTCAACCCATTGTTTGACGCAGAGAGCAACTGGACCGAGAGAGAGTTTCAACTGGCCGCTTGGGCCTTCCGCAAATGGAAATATCATCAATTCACGAGTTTACGGGACGATCTTTGGGGCAACGCGATATTCCTTAAAGAGGCTAATGCTATATCCGTTGAACTAAAAAAGAAGGTACAGTCGCGGAAAGTACGACGGAAAGTTCTTGGCACGGCTTTCTTTCACTTTGATGCGTTCATTATTTCTGCACCATGTTCCCGTATACTTTCGAATATAAACTTGAATTTTTATGTGAATAATTTATTTTTATATGAATAACGACATGAATTACTTTTATCCTTCGATAAATCGCGCATATAATTTTTCGAGCATAAAAGTAATTTGCAAAATTAATATCGCACAAAGAGAATTTACAAAAAAAAAATGATATCTATAATATTAAACATATTAAAAATACCAAGGAAAAACTTATTCACGTTTTGTATAACGGGTTTCGTCTCATTGATTTCCTTATCTAGGTTCAATTCCAATTTACCTTGCTCACGGACACCCTTTACTCGCCCCTACCTTCGGATCTCTTGCCCGTTATGGACGAAGAAGAGGAGGACGAGAGACCGTTCCCGCGCACGATCGTCGCCGTTGAAGTTCAAGATATGAAAAATGGTGCTACGCATTACTGGACCTTGGACAAGCTAAGGTTCGCTTCATTGCTCCATTTTACATTTCACTACGGCGTTTGTTTAATTAGCAGAGCATTCGTGCTGGTACCAGATGAAACACGTATTTCTGCCGCTAAGAAGTAATTTTTAAGTTAATCATGAATTTGCCGAAGAAATTGGCAATATTCTGTGGAGTAATTTGGTAACTAAATTACAATGGCATTACAAATATCATCTCAAATTTATACATCCATTTTTACATGAAGCATGTTTTTCACAACTATAATACTTCAATTTCTCATCATTATAATTGAAACAAGACCTTTTTTCATGCAGCGCTCGACAATTTCTTTTCTGTTTCGTTACCGTCGCACGAATGCACTTCTCACGCGCTCAATGAAAACTATGAATATCGTACCCGTATTTATCGCGAAAGTAATACAAAGGCAAAGAAAACAATACATTTTTGCAACAATATGGTCGCGAGACGACCAAAAATTCTTCTGCGCGCGCCACGCATCGCAAGATGCTCAAGGTCATATACGAGTTGAGTTTTGAGCCGCGGGTTTTTTTTTTTTTTTTTTCCGTTAATCGAGCGCGAAATCGCAGCTTGTGTACTATCAGTAAAACACGATCCGCATTCGACCGAAGGGATCGCACGGTCCACTCACGCGAAGTAATGACATATATGACTAATTGTAGACAGCGCTTGGAGCTGATGCGACACGTGTACAACGAGGACTCGAGCCCCAGCACTCCGGAGGCCAAAGAGGATATTTTCCAATGCCTTACGGTCTACTCTAATCCGAAGTTCTCGCTCGCAAATCTTTTGCCTTCGAGGTTGGTGCTCGAACGCGCGAGGCTCTCCTCTTTATCCGCCATGTGATACGCTTTAAACGCCCTCGGCCCCCTCTCTGTCGCTGGCGCAAAAGTCCCGTTTTTTCCATTCCGCCGTGCGTTTTGTCGTTTTTTGCTCTTGTCTTGTCTTGAGAGGCTTTCCTCGGTATGGCAATAACGCGCCCCCGGCGCGGATTGTACAAGCGAAACGAGCTTTGCACTCTGAGCTCGCGAAACTTTACCGGTTGAATCTGCATGGTTTCCTTTGATTGACTAGCGCGACTCGAATCGGAATGAATAGCGAATTGACATGACATGAGCGAGCTCTCCGCTCGCCGAATGTCACGCAGCACCGCTTCCGCGGCTGTGAACATCTCTATTGCTGTTTGACTGTGAAGAAAAGCGTCGCATTCTGTGCACGTCTGTCTCTATCTCTCTCAACACCGACACATCTTCTAATTATCTCCTGAGCTCGTGTCCTCACTATCTCGCTTTCCAACTTTTGTCATGCACGTAACATCTAATCAGTTTCGATAAAAAAAGCGATGAAGAGAAAAAAAGAAATAATAAACACGTAAAGCGGAGATTCGAATTTTCGGATTTTATAACAAATATGTGCATATTTCAATATTTTTTATAAATTATTATATTACGCTTGCTTATGAATATTACACCGTGTGACAAAAATAATTTTTTTTTCACACACGAAAAAATTGATGTGTGAAAGTACAGTCAACAGTATAAAAAATGTTCTGTTCTATGAGATTAAATTATTTACATTTTTTTATGCAGATAATTTGAAAAAAAAAAAAAGATAAATTGAAACGGTTTTCGACTAAAAATGCATTTTTCACCATTCTTCTCTTTTCCAATCATTTTAATTTTATTATTGTGCGACGAATTTTACATAGAAATAAACTTTTCAGATAATCACAAAATTTCATCCCGCACTGTGACCTTCTCTAAATTTCAAACGTGGATAAAAATTGCAAATAACTTGATTTTATGGACTGTATTTCATGCTAGATTTTATTTTTCGATTTTTTTTGTGTGTGAAAAAACGCGTGCTGTCGCACGGTATTATAAAACATTTGCCTTTATTATAGAAACAAAACTTTTTAATGGAAAAAGTTGCTTGAACTCGCAATCGTGCAAATATTATGTATAATTTGATGTAACAATGTTCTGATAAAATAGACATGTAAAAGGCCAAGAGGCAAAGAGGATGAATACCAGATACTCAAAGGAATCTGGTCCGAAGAAACTTTGGATGAGTTGAACACACTTTGACGATTTAATACACGAGTTACGATCGCATTCGCATAACTTTTTGCTATTGGAAATAGTAATAAATGAGAGTTTCGTCTGCTTTCCAGGCAAAGGCTGGAGCTGATGCGCGAGATGTATCACAATGAGGCCGAGCTCTCACCGACGTCTCCGGACTTCAATATCGAATCCATCACGGGAGGCGATCCATTTTACGACCGATTTCCGTGGTTCCGCATGGTCGGCAGGTAAAACCACGAACGCAACACCTCGGGGTTCTTTCTTCTTTCTACGCTTTCAATTATTATGCTAATCTGATGTTGCGTCAAACTTTTCAGAGCTTTCGTGTACCTCAGCAATCTCATGTATCCGGTGCCGCTGATCCACAAAGTGGCCATCGTGAACGAAAAGGGCGACGTCAAGGGTTACCTGCGAGTGGCCGTGCAGGCCGTAGTTGGTACGTGATCCGTGGCCATCCGTGCCGTCTGCATTACACGTCTGTCGGGCATGTAAGATGTACATAACGAACCCTTCTTCCAGAAGAGGAAAACAGCGAATACTCAAGTGGCGTTAGACAATCAGCTCGAATCTCCTTCGAGGACGACCTGTTCGGCGGGCACAAGCATAACAAACGCAGCTCCCTGCTGGCTCAGACTCTAGAGAAGAATCGGCAGATCATGCTGCACGAGGAGCGCGTGGTCGAGGGCCACAACGAGATCAATCAGAAGGACATGAAGGACGAGGACGACATAGGAGACGCCGACAGCGGCAGGGGCGACAGCTCGGTCTCGAGCGACATGAAGGAGGAAGAGCTGCCGGATCACTTGCAACCCGGCGCGGAATTCACCTTCAGGGTAACGGTCCTACAAGCCATGGGCATTTCCACGGAGTACGCTGACATTTTCTGTCAGTTCAAGTAAGTGCAAGCGTGTCTGTATCTGCCTCGGCTTGTTTTGACGCGTAACGTGTGACCTGTAACGTGATTTCTCTCGCAGCTTCCTACATCGACACGACGAAGCTTTCTCGACGGAGCCGGTGAAGAACACGGGCAAGGGTAATCCACCCGGATTTTATCACGTACAGAACGTAAGTTGAAAGCCACGTAGAGTCTCGTGAAAATTTCGTCAAGCTGGTTCAACATTATTAGTTGGAGCCTGCTAATCAATAATATCTTTCGATTGATGCAGATTACGGTCACGGTTACAAAATCCTTCTTGGAATATCTGAAGACTCAACCTGTCGTCTTCGAAGTGTTCGGTCATTATCAGCAACATCCGTTGCACAAGGACGCGAAGCTGGAATAGTGAGTGTCAATCGTAAACGCTCGTTCGTTTAGATTTTGTTTAAGAGAATTTCGTAATCACATTTGTATTCACATCAGCAGCGTGCGACAGCCACCGAAGAGGATGCTACCGCCATCCATACCGATCAGCCAGCCGGTGCGCTCGCCGAAATTCGGGAGTGTCCTGCCGTCTCCCAGCACGTCGCACGTGCACGCCAAGTACGACGTGCTGGTGTGGTTCGAGATCTGCGAGCTGGCGCCGAACGGCGAGTACGTGCCGTCGGTGGTGGACCACAGCGACGATCTGCCGTGTCGCGGGCTGTTCCTGCTCCACCAGGGGATACAGCGACGTATACGAATCACCATTGTGCACGAGCCGGCCTCCGAGTTGAGGTGGAAGGACGTGCGCGAGCTCGTGGTCGGCCGCATACGGAACACCCCGGAGCCCGAGGAGGAGGACAACGACTCGTCTGTCCTCTCGCTGGGCCTGTTCCCGGGCGAGTACCTCGAGATCCCCGGCGACGATCGGACCATGTTCAGATTCGAGGCGGCCTGGGACAGCTCCCTGCACAACTCGGCTCTGCTCAATCGCGTCACGTCTTACGGCGAGCAAATCTTCATGACCATCTCCGCGTATCTCGAGGTACGTATTGGACATTTGAATGACTTGCGGGGAACATTTCGGGGGGTTTTACTTCTCCTCACGTGTATTATTTATCGGTTTTTAGCTGGAGAATTGTGGGAGACCGGCGATTATCACGAAAGATCTGAGCATGATCATCTACGGGAGGGACGCGAGAGTCGGGCCGCGCTCGCTTAAGCATCTATTTAGTGGCAGCTACCGCAACCAGGAAGCGAATCGACTCAGCGGCGTCTACGAGCTGGTGTTACGCCGTTCTTCGGAAGCAGGTAGCCCAGGTTTGTTATGTCTAACCATAGCGTAGTCCCGTGTTCTACTTAACATCACATTCAGATGGAATAAAGTCTCAAATTTCTAATTGTATTTATTCCCTCTGTGACATACTTATGTCTTTTACCTACATGTACTTAAAAGATGTATCTCAAATATATTTCAGATATATCTTTTTGGTAACTCTTCAAATTTCGAAACAATCAATATCGTTCTTAATTTGAAAAAAAAAGGAAAGAGAATAATGTTTAAATATAATTGAATTACTTTCAAGTAGTATTAATTATTCTGACTCTAAAATATATTGATCTTAAGAAGACACAATTGATACCACTACACTATCTCTCAATATAACAAACTTCTTAAATTATTTTGTAAAACTGTAATTGTTTCATATTTACTTACACTTCTGGCTTTCTCCTCTTTCTCGATGTCCATCCCTTTTCCCTCCCTATTTATAGGAGTTCAACGACGTCAGCGTCGCGTCTTGGACACGAGCTCCACGTACGTCCGGGGCGAGGAGAACCTGCACGGATGGAGGCCGCGCGGTGACAGTCTCATATTTGACCATCAGTGGGAGCTCGAGAAGTTGACGAGGCTGGAGGAAGTGGAGAGAGTGCGGCACACGCTGTTGCTGCGGGAGAAGCTCGGCATTGATAAAGTACCGTTCTGCAATAAACCTCTGCACGATTTCACGAAGAGCGAAAAAGTAACTAAATGCACCTCACGTACATTAAATGCGACGTAGAATTGTGTGTAATACATTCCAAATCTGGTACAGGACGTGTGCAATATGGTGGCGAAGGCCACGAACGAGCCGCACGCCAGCCCGGTGAAGCTGAATCGTTCGACGAGTAGTAAAGACGTATACGAACCCTGGGAGATGACCGAGAGGGAGCGCGAATTGTCGACCAAGTACATTAAACTCATCCAAGGGAGAATCCCGAGTAAGGAGCCGATACTGCTCTCCGATGTTTCGCCCGAAGACACCATAACCGATTTATCCGCGTCTATGATGTCGTCGGTCATATCGTCCTCATCTCAAGAGTCAGTATACGCGAGAGATAGCGATTTCTTGGAGCAGGTAACCCTCCCCGCATGCCCCTGAGTACTCTTGCTAATAGCGGTTGTCTATGCTTTTGCTTCGTCATATTATTACATCCATCTCTAAAACCAAGCAATGCGATATCCGAAAAATCTCGGATATTCGTTGCCGAATATTCTCGATATTCGCGTAAATAAAATTTTGCTACAGTTCGATTTACATGCTAAATGAGACGTGGACGAAGACACCGAGTGCTTTGAAGCGATTTGAAAAATTAAAACGACGTTTGATCCCATTTTTACATTCATTGCCGTGTAAAACGACAGTTCGATTCACGCATCTTTCCCGCTTGGCTCGACACAGATTATCGCGCTTTCTCAAATCGATTCAGCTTTCGCGAAGCATCCGCTTTCGCATTCGTTCATTTCAACGTGTGGCATTCGAGACTCGAGTGTCTCGACGCTGCCGAGACAACCGCCAGCACGACTGGCTCGTGATCGGGGTTATGCTGGAGTGTTACTTGCAGGCTGCTGGTATAGTAGTATGGAGCAGGTCGTCTAAGTCGTGCCTCCTTAGGTTGAGCTCGCCGGAGAGGGCTAGACTGCAAGAGCTCCAGGAGAGCATATTGGCGAGCGAGTCGGCTAATCAGACCTGCACCGTCGCGCCGCCGCCGCTCGGATCGTCCTCGCCGTCGAAGGAGAATCTGGTGTTGTACGTGCCGGAGGTAGAGGAGATACGCATTAGTCCGGTCATCGCGCGGAAGGGCTATCTGAACGTTCTCGAGCACAAGACCAACGGCTGGAAGAAACGCTGGGTGGTATGTGTTGCTCACCGTTAAATTTACGTTGCTCATTTAAAAGGAGAGAGAAGCTGCGTTTAAATATAATCGAATTATTTTCAAATTATATTATGATAATATTGATTACGCTCTGACTCTCTAAAATTATCAAATTTTAATATAAAAAAGATAGAAGAATAAGATAAAATTTTCAATGCCCACGTGTTTCTTTTTTATCACCTCAGGCTGTCCGCCGACCATACGTTCTCATTTTCCGAGAGGAGAAAGATCCCGTCGAGAGGGCATTAATTAATTTGGCTACAGCTCAAGTCGAATACTCCGAGGATCAGCTGGCCATGGTGAAAGTGCCGAATACTTTCAGGTAAATTGTCCGCAAGTAAAAAAGTAAATAGATGCGCGATTGTACGGCGTTGTACTGAAATGTCTGTCTGTGCAGTGTCGTCACCAAGCACAGAGGATACTTGCTGCAGACTTTAGGCGACAAGGAAGTCTACGATTGGCTGTATGCGATTAATCCTCTCCTAGCTGGTCAAATTAGGTGTGTATAATAGCATGAATCTATTCCACTCCGTTTACCTTAATACGAATCACTAAGACTCTAACACGATTGCGTTATTATTTGATGTACGGCGATTATACGAACGATAGGTAGTAGAATTGCCTAATGCGATATTGCTGTCGTAGGTCGAAGCTTGCCCGCAAAGGTCCGCCTGCTCCGAATTTAAGCAACGGCGCGCCGATTGGCATAGTACCGCAACTGGAGCAGCAGAGCAATCAGACCAAGTGAGTGGTCGACACTATGGCCGGGGTAACGAGTGCAATAGCGAAGGCGTCGGAGAGAATGCTGTGTTGGTCACACTCGGCCTTAGAGTCCCAAGACTTCTGCAACTTTCGATTCCCGCTGGTCTTTGACTGACCGGGCGGGGGAGGGGGTCGAAGCTGTCCCTTGAGACTATCCACGATCGGCGGCATATTAATATCGACGTTTTACTTTACACAGCGTCCCCTTAGCACGTTGTAGGGCAGTCAGAGTGGGAGAAAAAAAAAGAGAGAAGAAAAGAGGAAGATGGTGCTCGTCTTTCGAAGAAGTTACAAATGCGCGTACAAATGCATTCGGTTGCACTGTGCTGGAGGAAAAAAAAAATGTTCCGTTTTCGAGTCTCTCCGTACATTTCGAACTCGCGTTCGAAGTGCTCCCCACGTCGATGAGACGAACGTCGCGCGCGCGAATGTTTTCGTTGAAATTTTTTTTCTTATTTCCGTAAAACGCGTTTAATATCGACGTAACTACTAATCGCGATATCCCTAACGTAACGCGACGTGTGAGGAAGATAGAAAGAAATGCATTTATGCCTAATAAACATATATTCCTAAGACGATCACTGAAAGTCGGGACAGGGAATACACGTTATAGATATATCTGTAGAAGAGGAAGTATGCGAGACAAAGTGAGAAAGAGAGGGAGAGAAAGAGAACAATATAAAAAGAGAGAAAGAGAGAGAGAAAACGAAATAAACGAGAGACGAGAAGATATTAATAATTTCATACGCAAGCTTAACGATCGCTTAGTACGCGAAAAATTATTACGACGGAGAAAAAAAAAGAGAGCATTAACATTTTGTAAGATGATTCAGGCAAATCGTTGAGATCCGTTTAAGATAGTACTCTATCTAAGCATTTTAGCATCGCGACGATCGTTTTTAAAAAGAGTAGAGACGACTTTCTATAAGGATTACACTTCCACTTTTTTGTTCACTGATCGTTTTTTCCTTTACTCGATCAAGCAGATTAGACACGTACACCGACCGTGCAATGACTCTCCGATTTCCGTGTGAAAAGGTCGTATACGCTGCTGTACACGCAATCGATCGGCCGTCGCTCGATGAAGATTTTACCTTCTTAATTCGAGATTCGAATAATTTTACTTGCAACGCGCGTACTGTAAGATAGGATAACATTGCTCCAAAGCAACGACGCTAACTTTGCATCGGAATGAAAAAAAAAAAAGATTCGACTACCATTTAAGGTGTAAAAGTGAGAGGCAACGAAAGTAGGAGAGAGGAAGAGAATCACCGCTTCTTGAAGCATGAAACTCGTAGAACACTTCCTTTTGACGTAGCTCGAAATGTTTTTTTTTTCGCACCCTACATCACGCCGTTATCCTCGATATAGAGTAATTTTATCCTGTCTTGAGATATCTGCAAATTTCCTGTGCATATTTTTGAGTACCTGGCAGCTACCGTTTTAAACTATACAAATGGATTAAAGGGATTTAAAAGCAAAAAACAAAAGTCCTTAAGAACAGATCGAGCGTACGAACAATAACTAAGCATTTGTAACTCTCTGTTTCTAAGAATCTTTGTCTAATCGTAAGATTAATGTAGAAATCTTGCAACGATAATAACAATTTTGTATGAAACTTTGTTACAATTCCAATGCGAAATTATGAAATGTTATGTAATTGTATTCCTCTTTTTCTTCAATCGTTATGCGCGTTATGTATATATAAAATGTAGAAATACTTGATTCATTTTAATGCTAAATCAATATAAATTTGCAGCATGTAATCGTCATTAATGAAAGAAATGAGCTCGATTCGACCGTGCTCGAAATTAACAGATAAAGAAAGAAGCGTGAATTTTAAGACGAGCTACGCGAATCGTAACGAAATCTTGAATTGTTATTGCGTCGTTGCGAGAGTTTCACACGAAGAAAATTATTGTTCCGATAAGCGGAGAAATAATATTTTACTGCGAGAACTTCTTCGAAACACGAATAAATGCGCGTAGTCGGCAAGCAAGCGGCGCGTTCGGACGACGTGAGAAATTTTTCCATTTGTAATCGACCGAGACCCACGATTGATACGAAAAGCTGGGACGAAGCTTGGGATTTTCGCACTTCGTACCTCGCAGCGTGCGAAATAGATAAAAAAAAATTACGCTAATCTATGGGTATAGACGCCACACTCTGACACATCGTGTTTTTATGTCTACTTAGAGTTTAAGCAGTGCTCCTCGAAGACGTTCGCCACGCAATACGGCACGCACATCCTCGGACGTATTCGCGACGAATGCGCGTCGACGAACGTACCTTAACGGCTTCGTCTGACGAGGAAATATTCAATTTGGATCATCTATTTCTTAATAAATGCTTGTTCGCTCTTATATAGTTTTGGAATGAATAAAATTGAAATTATATAAGGCGACAAAATTTTATTTAAAAAAAATTAAGTCAGTTATAACATAGAATTACAAAGAGTTGGTGCAGAAAAGATTCATTCGTTCGATCTAATTTTCTTCTGAAGCGGAACGATCTCTGTTTCCCCAATTTCTTTTCTCTTCGGAGAATCTAAAGACGATAGATAAGTGGCTAGTTCAAACTGAAAAAGATTGATGGAGGAGAGCCAACGCGAAAGGAAATTCACGCGAAGGAAAAACCTAGCGTGTCGCAAAAACGATGATGATACAACACAAAGTAATGAAAATACATTGGATTCGAATATCTATCTGACTTACGATATTTTATCTTTCAATATTTCTGCCCTTTAAAAGGAAAAGAAGTCAGTCCTTTAAATTCAATGATCCAAAATTGAATAGTTTCCTCATAGACGATTGCGTTGTTCCGAGGCTTTTACTAACTTCTCTTACGTGTAACAGACTTCGGATAACAGGTGCGGCATTATAAATACATGTGTCTACCGTGCACCTCACATGGAGAGAACTCTCAACATCCTCGATATATCGATATGACATCTTAACTCACGATACGCGCGACTGCGGTGTCCAAGTTCGAGATGTAGATCAAAGGAGGGCTCGTTCTCTTGATATGTATTACGTATATAATAGCATTTCATGACGATCGACATGTAGTACCGAGACATTTTCACGCACAGCAGAAGCCCGATTTGTTTCGCTCCATCCCCAATCCGAGTCGAGTGCATTCCCTGTTGCTCAGACAGTCAAATCTGTCGAAACAGAACTTTGTAAAGTGCTATCAATTCTCTCGGTAGAAGCGGAGAGGCAACAGAATCTGCCAGCAGAATATGACGGTAGATTGACTGCAGAAACTGAGCAGAATTTTTTGTAATCACTTAAATGATATATTCGATTTAAATTTATTGTTATGAAAGACTGCTCGGTTTTTTTTTTGCTGGCTGTCTGCTATTGAATCACGTCGGTAGATTCTGTTGGCGCAGGTTTCGAGTTTAATGCGGATGCAATTGATGCCGCATTATTCTCCCGAATCTGCTGATAAGCTGCTAGCATACCGCTAACATTTTGTTCACTAGGCAGATTTTGCGAAGTGTTACAAATTTTGTCAGCAGAAAATATAATAGAATTTGGTAACGGATTAACTGCAAAAATTGAGTAGAATCTGCTATTCATAAATCACTTAATATATTTCATTTTAATCGCTACGAAATGGCAGATTCTACTCATTCCCTGCTGGCAATCTGATATCAGATTACGTAGGCTCTGCTGATAGATCGCAGGAAGCAGAATTCAGACGCAATTGATCCCACAATCTGCCTGCAGAATCTGCTGGCAAGCTGTGTTAGCATGCTGTTAATATTTTGCTTACCGAGTAAACCACCCAATTGTACAATCGAAGGTATACGTGTACACACATTTTGTAATTATATATCTGGGCTCTATATCGCTTCTCCACATTCCGCGAATGCTTGGGAGCGCGCGTCAGTATTAAGTTCTACGTATACTCTTCTCATCGCCCAAGTATTACGGACACTACTGTACTCCTCAGTTCCTTTCGGCAAGAAAAGGAACCTCATCCGAGCTCCTTTCGCAGCGTACGAACGGGTTTTTTTTTACGTTATCCTTCCAATCGAAATGGTCTATCGATTTCGTGTACCTTGACGTCTCTCGAGGAACAAGATTCCGAATCAAGATTCTCCGGAAGGAGGGGGGGGGTGGTCTCCGACGTGGACGTCGATATCGGAATTTGGACGGAAGACGAATCGTAAATCCTGGCTCGCTTGATATTCTAGTCGCTGAGGCGCGCTTCGCGCGCTCGATCCCGAGGCCGATTACGTCTTTTCCTTTTTTTTTTCTCTTCTTTCTTCGATCGCCCCACACGATTCTCGATCGCGGCTTTCACACGAGTGTAAACGCCCCGCCACCGATTATCCGTTTTCGCTTGCTGACTGTTGTAATATCTGATAGTTTTATTTTGTTAACGACACACCACCATATGATGTATCGAGAAATAAAAAAAAATGCATAAATATATAAGTTGAACTTTAGGCTCTCTATCGACTGTGCCGAGGAGCAAAGTGGTATACACGACGAGAGAGAGAAGATGGTGCGAGAGAGGATGACAAGAAAGGGGGGGAGGGGAAGAAAAAAGAAATCGCGTATATTACGAGGAATTTACATCGCATTTAAGTCGTTGGAGAGATTAATAATCATTGTTATTATTAGTAGACGAAATATAGGAGAGAAGAGAACGGACACGGCGAGAATGAGAGCGTGCATGAGAGGTTGAAAGTTTAAGGGAAAGAGAGGAAGAGAAAACGAAAGAGAGAGAGAGAAAGAAAGAGAACTTCCGAGTGGAAATGCATGAAAGAGGGAAAGTATGTGTGAGAGAGAAAGCACGCGCGAGAGAGAACACGTTCGCTTATATACATATACATAATACAAAATATAAATTATATAAATATATAAATAAATTTAATAAGCGTTACTTTAATAAGCATTCCTTTGTGAAACATTGTGGATCATCGCGAGGCGACACGATGGCAGGAAGGCTAATGGCGATGCGATCTGTACCAAGTTATATAAGTTCGTGTGTTTGTTTGTAAGGTAACTGGACATCCGTTACGAAGCGTTTTCGTTTTTGACCGTTTGCTATCGGAAACGTGCATCGATGCTGTAACTAGTATTTATTATAAATATTATATTATGGTTACTCGAATATTTCGCTAGGCTCACTGTAAGTGGTAACGTGTAATAAATCGGTCAATAAAAAGCTTATATGCTTAATATAAGTCCTTCTTGCAACACCACATGTTAAAAACTCTTCGTCGTACACTTCACGGTTATTTACGCCGATTAAGGCTTCTCTTCACTCATCACTGCACTACCTCAGATTGTGACGTCAGAAGCGAAGATACACAATAAAAATTCTTGTAAAATATATATCCAAATAGAAATATTATTCAATAAAACATTTGCAATCGATAGAATAAACTTACAAAATATACCGAAAATTATCTTTTTAAATCATATTTATTTTTATATATTATTAATTTGACATAGCTGAACATCTTTTTTTTTTTATCATGCACAATTCACACACACACACACACACACACACACACATTTCCAAATATTTATTAATTAAATAAAAAGTTTTCGGTATATTTTACAAGTCGGTTCTCTCTATCGATTATTAATGTTGTTTTATTGAAACATATTTTTCTTTTATATTTTGTACGAATTTTTCGTCGTGTTTTTCTCGATTCTGACGTCACAAGCTAAGATAGGAGTAGTGAGTAATTAGAAGATCTAAAAACAAGTATTAAACAAAACTAATTTAATTCTTCTACAAATACTATCATTAACTAAAATTCTTTAAAAAAAATCTAAGCGTAAAAACTGTACAGTTGAACGTACAATAAAGATCCAACTTCTCAATAACATATTTAAGCAAGATCTAAATCCACGCATATATTGTTTAAATAAATCTTTTATTTTTGTTTATTTACATTTTAATTTAATTTCTATTTTTACTTAACCATTAAGAATCCTTGTACGTTCACAACAAACTTTTCGAAATTTTCTTTGAACCTCGTTCTTTGAGGACGATCATTTAAGTCTATATTTACGTCTATATTCGCAGTCAGTGCGGTGAACGCATTCGCTAATCTTTGTGCCACTTGTGGATCCGTTTGAGTGGATACGATATTCTGTATGAGTTGCTGATATTGCTCCTGGTAGCAACATATGAGATAATAAAGAGGCAGATTCGCGTTCGTTATCAAATCCGAGTCCATTTGATTTGACAAAATAAGACTTATCAGTAGCTGAAAAGAGAAATTCAATGTTTTAGAAATTCGTTGAATATCCTGAACGGCGCGTTGTGTGTTCAGCCGCTTGTAGAAACTTACGTTCAGAAACGGTGACATTATGTCTTTGCGCGGCTGTCCTTGCGGAATTTCTTTCTGAATATGCTTGGTTAAGACTTGAATTGTATCACAGCAAAGGCCAGCTATCTCACTACCGAATGAGTATAAACCTAATTCAACTGATGCTAAAAGTTGCTGCAGCAGTTTAACAGATAGGTCGCAAATTTTCTCAGGACACATATCGCATACGAACGCTATCATTTTGAAATACCTATAAAAAGCGAATTTATTTAAATTACTAACAGAGCAATGATAGAATAGATGTTATAATGAACATGTGAACTAATTAAAAAATTCTTCAAATAATATTATGAATCATTAACAAAAATTCAAAATTGTTAAATTACACATCTAACTTGTTTTAATGTATTTAATAGTCTCAATCGAGGTTTCAATAAAATTTATTTGTATATATTATAAATTTTATTAATATTAATTGATTCTTCTCTGTTATGTTGTATTGCTAAAATATAATTATACTTACTGCAAGCATAACGACGGAAATTTTAATAAATTCATTGTCATCATAGGCATGATTATATTTAAGCCGTATAAGAAAACGTCAGTAGACGGAACGGGTTTGGCAGCCGGTGCTGCAGATGCAAGTTGGTTGGTTGGTTGATTTACTTCTTGGTTTAAATTAAATATGTCTTTAATTAATAAATTAGTTAATAATCGCATAAGTAACATAATATCCTGAAAGCTGTCCTCTTCCGCGGTCGAGTCTACGGTAAGCCGATGGCTGTTACAGCCAGCATACGTTTGCATCATTTGCATACAACATTCATACACACGCATACTATCAGCCTGAAATAATAAAATAATACGTTGAGATTGAGATTGCAGTGCAAAATGTCAGGATTAATTTCAAACAGCTCATATAAATAATATAACGACTTACATCTGATAAGAAAAATAGAATTTTCGTATATTCATTGAACAGCTCTAATATCAGTTGCACTATATCTTGATAATTATGATACAAGGATAATAATTTTGGAAGTTCGGCTAATATCGGAAAAGTATATTGATACACGGGCGCCACTATCGGACTTTCGGCACCTAGTACCACACCTATATTTAAATAAGAGATGATGATTAGATACGTAAAATTTCAAGTCAAACATAATTTAAATAAATATTTCATATATTACCTATACAAGATTCTAGTAGATCTATGATTTTAACTTTAATCTGTTCTTCGTGGTAGGACGACATGAAGTTGTCACTGGAAATTAATTGTTTGTATCTGTTCTGCAAGGGTTCTAATATCCGCGACCAGTAATACTGCTCGGTATTTTGTAACACGATACCGGCATGAACCACCGCACGCATTAAACCTCTCTTGATAATCGGCGGAAAATTATATTGCTCTTTTGTAGCCAATTCGATAATAAAAGTGAACTGCTCAGACGTCGACAAGCAGGAGGTTCTGAAAAATTTTAATACATTTAAATTTTTAAATCATTTCAATGAAAATAATATTATAACGATTACTTTAACGTGTTAAATCTCGTGTAATATGCAATAAATGCCTTTACATCCTTTTTACGTAAGCTGTAGCATGTAAACGTATTACTTTCTGCGAACATAATTAAATCACAAAGGAATAAGAATCGCGAATTATAAAATCGTGAAGAAAACATTTACATTGTTAAAGCAATCGTAAACGTAATACATTTGTTAAAATACACGATAATTTGTCTAGGGCACGCATATTAATTTTTCTGAATTGAATCATGTATCAAATTAAAATAGAATGATATATTGAAAGCAAAATGAATGATTTTGAAAAAAAAAAGTTACAAAGATCATTAGAGAATCAGAAAGATTTGGATGTAGAAATGAAGAGCGAGATAGTAGACTATGGTAACCCCTTTGAAAGCTGGAAGGCACGAAATAAATAATCTATTAAAAAAAAATCTTTGATGTTTAAGCAGATTAATATAAGATGTATGTATATCTTCAAACGTAACACAATTTTTTAATAACGTGATATATGAGATACAAAGTATTCATAAGATTTGTACTAAACTTCAAGAAAATAACATATTGATGAAATTTGAAAAGCATTTTTCCATTATCACAAGTTGAACTTCGAATTCGAGACGCGATCATGCATTAAATATTTGAAAGTCGATTTCATTAAATCGAGTTTTATGGCTACCGATAAAAATTAATTTCATTTTAGAATTAATTATAAATGAATTTTTTAAAAACATTAATATTTAAGAACTTAATTATTAGAATATTGAATGCAGATAATTTGAAGTTGTACGAAATGTCGGTCTTAACCCAATTTTATGTTGAAGGAAAATGCGGCCGCAGTTATCAAGTCAAAAAATACATATAGTCGAATATACAGTCGAAATTTGACAATGTAGAAATCTTATGAGACGTTCTATATACATGTTTTACTTCTCAGTATGTATTCCCATTAGGCATAAAATGAGTCGAGTTTAATAAATTTATCGCTCTCATGTAATTATAATTTATGATCAATTTTTGCCGCGCAAAAGCGGATATATATAATCACCTACCAGAAAACAAATGCCCCATATTTTTTTCACAAAATATCATCCAGCAAAATCCATAATCCGCGGATTCCATCTGGAAGATTTTTCATTCTAGTCAAGTTCTATTCGAAACTTAATTTGTTAATTGTTAATTTGTACGGAAAAATCGGAATGTTGTCCCTAAACAAATTATTAAATATAACTACTGCAGGCACACTTTGCGCGTTATATTTACCTCGTTCGCGAATTAACAAGAGATATTAATAACTTTATAGTATCGTCTATTAGCGCCGGTTCGCTTTTGAAAGCGTTGATGTTGCAAATTATCTTGTCCAGAAGAAAATTCATCGACCACGATGCGCCGGGGCTGTCGTCGCCAAAGGCATGCAAAAGCGTGGTGCTTAACTCGGTATAATAGTCCTCGGTTGGCAGAAGATAGATTTCCGACCATCTGTGTAAAAACCATATTATCGTGCTGGTCAACTCGGGACTGAGTATACTCTCCAGGTGCAACGATATAGCAGTTTTCTCAATGGTGCACAAACGGAAAATGCTCGTGATTAATCGAATGACTCGATCGATCGAGGCCGTGGGACTGCTTATGTCAGCCTGGACATTTTGCGAGGACACTAAAAACTCCAACGTACGATTCACGTCAACGTTTCCTTCTCTGGACTGAAAGCAAAAGAGAACATGTACAAAAAGAGATTTAATACCATTTCCGTTTTCCCCCCCAGAGATGTAAAAGTTGCAGTAAATCTTTACAAACCTGTTCCATACTGCATCGCGTAATGTCCAGGGGTATTAATGCAGTTTCACCCTCCGATTCCATGCAGAGTACGTGCCCTGTTATTAAAATGAGCCAATGCAGATCCTCGTACAAGTCATCCATAGAGGCAGGTCGCGACGATTCATTTTGTTCGACCAGTACGTTAAGATTATCGCGCAATTTGTGTATTCGATTTTCAAGCAATTGCGCTAACAGAGGTAACGAATGATTTGGTACTTCTCTACCGAAGTTACCTAGAATTATATCGGACATTTGCTAATATTGCCATTGTCGATTCGCGTAATAAAATGCGTTTTAGTAGACCGACTGTAATAGACTGTTCACTATTTACCAATTATTTGTAACTGCTCCTTAAATTTAACTTTGTCATCATCCTCCACATCTGCTACTTCCTCGCTAAGACTTTTTCCACCGACGTTTCTCACACCCTCCGGAGATGACAAGTGACACCGAAGATATATATTAAATATCTGAATAGAGCTCTGCTTATAAAAATCTGATGGAAATATATACGTTGAACATAACATGCACGACCATACTTCAAACATGTGTTCCATAGCTTCCATATATAGGCAATCATCAGCACGTATCTGGAAATATTACAAAACATTAAATCTTTCTGTTTTCTTTTTATATACCCAATATCTATATTAATATCTATAGATTGTAATTTCATAAATAGATACTTTACTTTTTCATTGAATATTTTGGAAACATTCGAAAATGATCAAATTTAACACAAAAACAATAATAAAATATAAAATATAATAAATTACCGATTCTTCTTGCGCAGCACATTCTATAAATAGGCATGTTAATCTTGTTATTTGTTCCATAAATGACTTGTACAAATCTTCGGGAAGACTCTTCAATGAGCTTTGAAAGAAATAATTAATCTTCCTTATAATATTAGTAATTCCGTTTGCCTCTTGATCGCTAATCTCAATACTTAATACGAGCTTCAAAAATCTCTGCATGTAATTCGTCAGGTACTGCACTTTCACTTGGTCCGCATTCAGAATTTTACCATGCAAGCTCGCCAGTTGTATCAGACAATTCATAGCGTGATGAGCCAACTGCGGATTGCTGCGCACCTTCCAATACAGTGTAAAAAATAGGTCTAATATTGCTGGATCTAGTATCACGTCTTGCCACGATGTATGTAACCTCAGTGGCGGGTTATTTCCGGATTCATACACTTCGCACATGCTTAGTAACCTTCTGGGTAGTGCACTGGAGTTAAGGTATATATATATATAAACAATTGTAACATACCTACAAATATCTATCTCTTTTACATGTATATCCATATGAGTCTTCATATCATATTCCACATTTAATAAAATGTGAAACATATTCAAATTTATATATCATTGTTATGCCACACTTAATAAAATGTGAAACATAAATTAAATGAAATATAAGCAGCAAAAACTAATTTTTAGCCTCTTCCAATTATTATACAGCGTATTCATGTCAATAAGTATTGAAACTCAAAAAATGCATTAATAAGAAAAGGATATAATTTGCATAAATAAATCCCCAGACAAGCATACTCTCCACAATGGAAAGTAAAGACTTCACGAGGGGTAATGTCGATTCGTCGAAGTCCTTCTTGATTAATTCACCGAACACTTCAATACAAAACTTGAAAATCTTCTTCATATCGCTTTGCTCAAACTGTTTCTTCTCCTTAAAGTGAACTTCCCACGTTAAGCCTATGTCAGATGATTTAGCAGTCGTTGCATATTCTTGCAATATCGCAGCTAAAATATTGCATCCCAAAATTTGCTGGAAACATAGGGGTAATCTTATTTTCCGCTTCCTCCTCCTTCACAAGACAAAAACAATCCCAATGTACTTACTTCAATATATACTTACATTTGGTAAGTTCCCACTCTTAATTAAATTCTCTATTTCATCTATTATTCGACTTCTCTCCTGCCCAAAGTCGTCCACGCTACCTCTCTTAACTATTATTGCAAAAACTTGGAGTATTTTCGTCCTAACGTACGGCGCTAACGTAGGCTTGCTCATAACGTAGTGCAACAAATATTGCCTCAACGAAGAGACGTCGGACTCCGACAGGGTGGACCACTCGTGTATCAGAGCCGTCTTTATCAAGCCGGCCGTCTCGAACAGTATATAATCCACCGAGCATAATTCCAAAATCTGCTGACACAGCTGATACGGCGACTTCGTTTTGCGAAAATTTAAGAATACAGTTTCCGCAGATTGACGCTGCTCTGACGAGATTAGATTCGGGGGCGCCTAGAAGTAATACGCGAATACAAAATCGTTTATCAACATTCTGTAGTTTTATATACGTTATCGTCGCAAAACTCATAACCGTTAAAACTCAATTTCACCAGTTGAAACTAGTTTTAAATTTAATTGAAACGAGGTCCATAATTGTACTGTCCACATAGGTTTTCGATTTTACGTCTAATCAATCATTCTAGTTTTAACTAGTGAATTCGGCTTTTAACGGATTATAGAATATTTTGACGATAACATATATATAAAAGTGAACGTAATAAATATATTTTTTTTATATCATCCAACAAATCTTAGGCTTAATATATTAGTATGTATTCAAAACATCAAATCAATATTTCTCGTCAATGATAGGAAAAGTACTTAATTGTACATAATCAAATTTATTATTAATACAAATTCAAAAACAAGGGAGAACGTTCCATTTTGATACACAATATATTTCCCTTGACCTCACACTTTGCTAACAAATTGGCAAGACATTTTACAAAATCTGCGCAGTAAGCAAAATGTTAGAGGTGTGCTAGCAGCAACTTGTCAGCAAATTTGAGTCAAATATTGTGGTAAATTGATATCAACTGTTAATTAAGCAAAAGTTAATAAGGCCATCGGTTGAAGAGAATCTCAGCAGAGATTGAAAATTACTATCGAATCAAGATAAAATTGACAAACAGAGGAATGAAGTAATGGAGCTTCACGCAGTCGATACTTGTGTCGCAGGTAAACAACTGTTGGCACCTTGTTTGTTATAATTAGGATCGCCCATCGCCTCAGTTGACAAGTTTCCCTTTCGCGGAACAAATCGCCTTTCCTCGAAGCGGTAAACACGAGAAATTACGTAACACGCGGTGGAGTGCTCCAATACACTTCGAAAACAGTTTTGTTTTGCTCCGCCTCGTACGACACGTGCGCTCGTTCGAATCGTCCGTCCCGCTCGCGGCGAAGTTCCTCAAATCGTGCCTCGTCTCTTCCCTTCCCCGCGAGATGCGCGTGCCGCGCGGATGTGTACGCGTGAAATTCGTTGAATCTTGAGAAATCACGTAAATAGGTCGTGGCTCGCGGAAATCTTAACCCCCTCCCACCCCCAAAAAAAAAAAACGGGATCTCGCAAACATAAGCGAAAGCATCCCGCGGGCACGACGAAGCGCGCAGTTTCCTGCGGACAATTCCACGCTCCGCGTGCGTCAGTAATACGCGTCAGTAAATCTCACGGGAGTCTGTGAACAATCCCCCCGCTGGACCGGTTGTGCTCGGGCGAAATTTCGTTCCCGTCTACTCCAAGGGACAAACGCGTGAATTCAACGGCGAGACTCACCAGGACGATTTGCGCCGCGGCTTCCAGCTCCCTCAGGATTTCCTCCGCCATCTCGAACGAGACCCGTTTATTTCAGTTTATTAACTCAATTGTACGGACAAATAAACAGACGGGCACCACACCACACACGGTTGTGTACAAAAACGCTTTACCTCAAAAATTGCACTCGCTCGGCGTCACGTCTGAGGTTAGGTAGCTTCGGTAGATGGCGAACCCTCCTCGCCGTTCCGCCGAGCGTGAGACGAATTTCTGGGCCGCGTTCCGAAACCTTGCCTAGGCGTGTCTAGATATCATTTTATCCTTGTTTGACATTCGGCGAATAACAAGGATAACGTATGATTATACCGTGAACTTATAACGAAATATATTACTTTCAAGAAATAAAATATCTGTCAAATTCGTATCCTCGCCGCGAATAAGAAACAGCTGATTAAGCGTTTATTATAATTATTTAAGAGTCAAGTCTTGCGAAATCTAATTCTATAGGATTCTTCGTAAAAAAAAAAAGAAATAAAAAAGGTCTCATGGCAAGATATTTTTTCTAAGAAACAAAATATTGTATTTGCAGAGTGCAGGAGCGTAGAAACCAATCATAACGAAGAACCATTTGAGCTGCTTTGCTGAACGTGGCCATTTCATTTAATGCGCATGCGCGGGCGTTTTTGCGCGCTCGAAAAACCGATTTGTTTTGCAAGCTTACAGCTGTTCGTACACGTTCGTACACGTTTACGGTTTGGTAGGATCCACGGGATCGACAATAAACAGAAATTGTGTGTTTGAACTAGATAACGCATTTGCCGCAGCCGATTATTTTCACATCTCCGAATTTCCTTGGATTATCGAAAGTAGCACGATGGAATTGTTCAAAACGGTAATTACTGCTACAGTTAGTATAATTTATCTCTTTTACGCAAAGCTGACAAAACTTTTAAAACGTGCGCATTTCTGCAATATTATAACTGAACGTATGCATATATTGTAACCAAAGTGTAAATAAATAAAGTAACGAATATATTTTAAAAATGTGGAGAGAAAGTAATTAAGTATAGTTGAGAAATAAAATATACATTTTTTTTTTAATGAAAATGGAAAGTGTACTTAAACAGATTGCGAATAAAATAGGAAAGGAGAAGGCATATGGGTGTGTTAAATTTTTTATTTTCAACAGGTCAAGGACAGAAAACCTTTGCACGTACTGCAGCCAGCAGCTACCGACAAAGAAACTTTGGTTGGTGCTGATAGGATTTTTAAACCTATCATATCAAAAGAAGCAAGAGCGAAACAGTAGGTTATTCTTTTATAAGTATACACTGTGGCATTAAAGAGGTCACAAGTACAAATTGTAAATGCAGAATGTATTTTAGGAATGTAACAGAAATCATAAAAAAAGATGCTCCTAAAAAAGTGACTAAGAAGAACAAAGCTATCCAGACTGTGCGAGAGAAGATAGAAATTGAAGCGGAAGATTTAACGTCAGGTATGCCCAAAAGAATTTTTTTTTTTTTCCTTTACTTTCCGAGTTCTTTTAATGTAATTTGATAACATTTTTAATTCGGATTTTATATTAAAAAAAATTGCTATCAAAATGTTTATTTTGTTGCAGACAATCCTGGTGAAAACTATTGGCAAATCCTGGCTGAAAGAAGACAAATGGCACTTGTGGGCACTTTAGAGGAAAATAAAAAACTTGTGCAGGATATTGAAAGATTAGAAGAGGAAAATCGTGTTTACAAAGAAATGTTGGACGAGACAAAATTACTTGTTGAAGTACTACAGGTAATGTGTTTGCCCATGTACTGCACTGATGTATTTCACAGCAAATCATAATCAAATTATTAAACACGTTATGTGTTTTTATTGTAGGAGCAAATTGAAGATGATGGGAACAATGTGAACAACTCGTTAGATGACAGTACTCTTTAATTTAAGAGTTGAACTTCTTAATCAAACCTAAGAGAAAAACTATATGATTACTCTGATAATTTATAAGAAAATATTTATCTTGTATTATAAACAAAATATTTATTTGCGTATTCACACATTCAACATTTTAAAGAGTAATGTAAGCAAACAAATGACATTTATGATAACATTTTTTGTTAGCATAATTATTTAACAGTTATATTAATATCACAAATTGTTGGCCATTAAAGTTAGAGATACACACACAAGTAATATACAAATACATGGTTTGAGATTATCAATTTTTTAACATGACATAAGGACAACGGAAATTCGAGATCTTCTGTTTTCTTAATTATCTGACACAATGAAGAGTAGTCGTGCCCGTTACGACAAAATATATTACGAGTGTCAAGTGAAGTTAAACCAATGTAATAACGTAATAATGCGTATAATTGTCAACAATTATTTAACGACAAACATCTAGAATTAAGAAATTTCTGTACACTTTGTATGTATAATAAATTTTTATTTTATGATAATTATTGATCCAATGTCTTAAATATTGAAATCAATTTATGACTTATATACTTGCACCAGGTATAAGCATAGGTCAACTTGATATTGGTGGTCACTTTGGAGAGAATTAAGTGTTTTTGTAGCTATAGATTTATGAAAAGGCTACTTTATTTGGGACTAGAGTCAGTAAAAGTCTTTTTCAGATCTCTCTATAATAGGGAATAATAATAATGATTTTCTGTTATCTCAAGCCATCGAGGTATATGTGGGTTGAAAAATTGAACTTTGGTCCAATCAATAATTACCAATCGGTCATTTTCATAATGAGCATATGTCATCCTACTAATTTCGGAAATTTTTAATACTTTATTGAAAGTATTAAAAAGTATTAAAAATATATCATCAAAAGAGCAAGTGTATGTTTTATTAGAATATAAAATGAGAGATCTAAACTTAATTAATTGATCTCTTAATTGACCAATTGTAAATAATAATGAATCATATATGATGCTAAATATATGAGATTATATTATACCAGAAACGTTCTTTTTTTTTTTTATGTAACATGTTAAAATAAAAGATAATTTATTGCATGAGAAAAGTCGTTAGATATAATTATATGTATTATAAAATAAAATTATAAATTAAAATTAGTTTTCAATTTTCACAATGCGTACTGTTCGTATACGCGTATGTTTTATCAGAATATAAAATAAGGGATCTAAACTTAATTAATTGATCAATTGCAAATATAATTATGATGCATAAATATATGAGATTAATATTAAATACGATTCATTTTTGTAACGTGTTAAAATGAGGTGATTTATTGCATGAAAAAAGTCGTTAGGTATAATTGTGTATTATACAAAATTATAAATTATAATTAGCTCTCAATTTTCTTGCTTTCAATTTGTTCCGATTGTCCACATCGTCAATTTGGACAATTCAGCAGGATTTTCTGATTGGTTGATTCAATAGGCAATCGATCGCTGTGAGTGGCAGCACTGGCCAACGCGACCGACCGTTGTGTTGCGATGCAAGATGGTCGACGGAACCTGAAGAAAGGGACGCTCTCGCATATTATTTGTTTATAGAAGCTGTTTTTGCGTTCTGTGCGAGATTCGTGAGTCAAATTTATTTCCTCCGTGCGGTTGATATCACGCGAAAGTTTAAAGAGCATTAAAAAATGTCGGAATACGAAAAAGTACGGACGGGAAAGTTAGTGCTGAAGGGCGAAAAATCAAGGTACTTATAACCTTCATTCTTTCATCGTTCGGAACTAGCTATTTTATTCATATTTCTTTATATATATTTTATTCATTCTTTCCAGACCAAAGAAACGAAAGTCTAAGAAACAAGAAAGAGAACAGGATGTCACGGTGGAGGATAAAGATACTCTTACTCATGGTATTTGTTTATTAATTTTTTAATAAAATAAATGTTAAGTTTAGATCCCTTGCTCTAAGTACACTTGCTCGTTTGATGATGTATTTTTGCGTAAAACTAAAGATTTTTGATCACCACTCTATGCTCTAAAACAAGAAATGCTAAAAGTGATGTGTCTAAGGCTAGAAAATCTATCCAACGAAATAAAGTCAATACGCTAATTACTGATATTAGAACGACAAGAGATGATTTCTATTTTTCAAAACTTTGCTTTTATCCAAAGACATCAAGTGAGTGTACTTTTATCAAAATCTAATTGTAAGATGAGGGACTTAAAATTTACATTTATGAAATTTTTATCTTGTGTGAAATATTTGCAACGTATATAGATAACTTTTCATTCTACAGGAGGATGGTGGAAGGTTAAGAATGTAACTGAAATTACTGGAACAGTGGCCATCGAATTTGGGAACCAAACTTACATGAAAGCGCTCGATAATGGATTGTTTACTCTTGGGGCACCGCACGCCGAAGGAGAGAGTCCGTTGCCAGAAGAAATATTAACGGCGTTTCCCATAAGCGAAACTAAGGTTGCGTTGAAATCGGGATATGGGAAATATCTTGGTGTTGATAAAAATGGCGTCGTTATTGGACGAAGTGATGCAGTTGGTTCTATTGAGCAATGGGAGCCAATTTTTCAAGTAATTTCCACATGAATATAAAAATGAATATTAATATTTGCCTAGAAATTATTTTATGTGCAATTTATAAATATATTTTGTTGGTCTTTTTCAAATCTAGTACTTGTATTTATATTTGATTTATATATTTTTTATATTTTTATGTTTTATATTTTTTATTTATATTTTTGTGTTTGCCTGTATATTATCTGTTAATCAAAAAAATTTATTAGATAATTCGAGAGTCTATCAACAGAGAGAATTAAAGATTTTCTGAATATAATTTTATTTTATGTTTAAGCAAAAGGTAAAACATGGATATTAGTACAGATAAAATAAAACAAAAATAATTTCAGTCTCATAAATTACATAAATTTTTATTAGAAGTAAGGATATTTTTGCATTGCTTTTTAAATATATTAATTGTCTTGTTTTCCAGGATGCCAAGCTCGCGATATTAAATAATACTGGATGTTTCATGTCAGTTACAAATGAAGATGATATAGTTTGCCAGAATAGGACAGCTGGTTCGTCAGAGTTTGTTATCGTAAGAAGTATAATACAACGTTCTCAAAGTCCTAGTAAAGAGATTCCAAAAGAGGAGCAAGGTTCACTAACAGAGGTCGAAGTAAATTATGTGTGAGTATTATATGCAATTTTATCAATAATCGTATAATTATATCATTATTGAGTATTCAAGTTTAAATTTTTTATTCAAACCTAAGTTTGTATTCTTTAAAAAAAATTTACATTTATTCTAAATTAAACCAAACGTTTAAAATTTAATATTTCTAATATTAGCAATATTTAATTTTACAGACGAAAGTTTCAAAAGTTTCAAGATAAAAAGTTAAGGATAAACAAGTCTGATCGTTCCGAATTGGAGAAGGCGAAAGTAGAAGGAAATTTGCATGAAACTCTATTAGATAGGAGAAGTAAAATGAAAGCTGACCGTTATTGCAAATAAATTATTACGTCACAATATATTGTAAATATATTTTAAATAATGTAAATAAATTGTAAAATTTTTATTTTTGCTTAATTGTTATAAAAACCAATTTCAGGATAAAATTTTTTTTACTTAAACTGAAAATTTGTACGACTTATGCATAAAAATATTAAGCACTAAGATCCACTTTAATTATGTTTGCGTTTTCTCATTTTAGTTTACAAATCTTTTATTAAATATTTTATATGAAAATTTATCTAGTTTTTAAATATTAATTGATATTATATACATATATGCGAAGCGTATCGAACAAAAATATTCAACAATGTTAACAACAAAAGCAATTATCTACACCAATGAATGATGACATTGAATATGCAAAACAAAAATACATGAGAAAAAATAGGGTTCTAGCTCATGGTTTTCTTTATAATGTTAAGATTGATGAAATAGAATGGCAATAATGGCAACGTACTGCATGAAATTACATTTATTATAATTATTTTTGCATGAAATGGGGTTGCAACAATTCGATATAAAAAGCATATTCTATATCTAAAATATAGTTATATATAAAATTTCTCTACATATATAAATCTTACATAAATCCAAAGTTATCAAATTAGATATCGGAATATTTTATACAAAAAAATCGGAATGTGCTTAACTCTGATAAATTATAGAAATTATATTACTTTGGCTAGGTTGGCACTTTTTATAAGGAGATTCACAGATATAGAGATATTCATAAATCATCTATTCATATACAATAAAAAGATACTACAAACCATATATATCTTTCGTATGAAGTTACGACTGATTTTAAAAATATCACAAAAAGCCAAGACTCGCCGAAGATTTTCACCATGCAAAGATATGCAAAATAACTATTCGGAAATTCTTCGTCGAGTCTGTGCCCTTAGTCATTACTCAACATTTAAAATCAATAATTCGTATGCCTGGGGATGGGGTAACGCAGTACTAGGACACTGTCGGCCGATATAATAGGCAGCACGTTGTCACAGTGATGATTCACTAAATGACTTACGCTATCAAATACACAATCTTTTGTACGAACCTGTAAATCAAAATTTATGCCATTTTGTATGAGTAACATTTATTAAAATTTATATCTAGAAAAATATTTAAATGTAGATTTACAATCGATAATTGTTTTAGAAATTATCGATTGAAAGCATTAATTTTTACATTAATAATTTTGTTATAAAATTTTTGTTTTATACTTACGACGCCTTCAGGATCAATTAGCAACAAATGTTTTGGGGTATTATTATTCATTCCAGTCAGAACGTATTGGCCAGGAGAACCTTGTGACTCTCGAACCAAAAAGTCGCCATCCTTACAAGATAAAAATAAAATAGCAAAGATAAGTTCGCGTCAGATGACAAGAGATTTTTATATTTTGTAATATACATATATTTACTCTAGTAAGCATGGATTCCGCTTCAGATCGACTAACACTTCCATGAAACCAAATTTCCTGTTTCAATTGCTGTTTCTGGGATCGGGGACTTAGTCTGTTCATATCTGATATTGCAGAACTGAACGGCTCTGTAATTTATAAATAAAGCTCGATATAAGTATAATAAATTATAAATAAATAAAAATTCACAAAAATTTACTTTTAATATTACACTAATTCTCTTTATGTGAAAATATACTTGAGACTGTAATGTAATCACGACATAAACAAATATAAAATTACAACAAAATAGGCTTGTAAAATATTATTTTACAAGATTTTTATAAAAATAAATTTTGAATCTTTGCCGGAAGAGACATTTGCAATAAAACAATTCTCTTACGCATATCAAAAACGTCGAAAAGTGATGCTGGATCACGATGATTGTCTCTGTTTGCAGCTATGACACTGTCATTCACATAATTGTGCTCAGTCATTATATTTAAATTCGTTGACGGGGATACAGTGCTATCTGAGTTCAAATCAATTAGGTTGCCAGTTTCTGTGGAGAAAAATGATGAAATAGAGGAATAAATAAAAGACATTTATATATAAAAATTAGAGTTAAATTATCCAGTCTATCAGTCTAAAAATTTTTGATAAAAGATATATTACCTGCCAACTGCTGATGTCTGTCTGCAGCAGTTGGGAATGAATCGACTGCAATACTTTGTACGTGAGTGCGCGACGCATGATTTTGATGATGCTTCAGATTAGGCAATGTGGATGCTGTAGTAGGCAAAGGAGGTACTGGCGGTGGGCCAATATCGGGCGGTACCTTCCCTGGCAGATCATTGTAATAATCCCTGTCCATTTCTCTAACACCGTTTAGTACAGGGCTGACACAAGTAAAGAAAAAATACGCAAAATTATAAACAAATATCGTCACGACTCTAAATCTAAACAAACATCTATTTTTCTAGAACTTACTGCAGAGAACTTGGTTTTGTAAGAAACTCTTTAAACCTGAGCTCGAACGCTTGTCCAATAGTAGATATAACATCCTGAGCTAAACCACCTGTACATTCCAGCACGTAACATGCACGCCACTCCTGCATATTTTTAGCAACGTATGCAACGAAATCCAATATTTCCTATTATAAATAAAATATAATTTCAGTTTCGAAACAAAGAATATAACTAATACGTGTATTGTAATGAATTTTATACAACTATATTTCATACAAAACTATGGAAATAAAATGTACAGAGGATAGTAGCCAGTGTATGTATATGCTGTTTACCGTATCACCGCCTGAAGCAAAAGATATACGTGGCATATCATGTTTCGCAATAATGTGTCCGGTTTCAATATTAGTCAGGGATAAACTGCAGCTACTAATGGTTAAAGTAATATTAGCAGCGGTATGCTCCATGCGAGGTTTATCTGCTATGGCTCTCAACACCTTCCTGTCAACCTGTTTGTGAGAAATTTAAAAAAAAAAAAAGAAATTGTAGTCACAAACATAATTATATATTTATGAACATAATAATTTTCTGTGAAATCTAGTACCCTTCTCTTTTTGTCAGCAGACTTTAATCCGGCGGCTTCGCAAACTCTGTTTATGCATTCTCTAAAATAAAATAAAGATTGATCGTCGTATACTCGAAAGTGTCTGCGGCACTCGCAAGTTTGTAACTCATAGTGCTTGATAAACTTACTTAGCTACGCACGAACGTGTTTCAAAATCTAAGCTTTTCATAGACGTGTATACTTCAAGACATCCAATATACTGCAATGTAAACAAAGATTAGATATGAGACAGTGTAAAGAAGTTTCATCAACAGATTACTTTTTTTCCGATACTTGTAATTAGTGATACTTTCGAGGTAATTTTCCTATGCTTACTGCCCTTCCCTTACCACTTTCATCTCTAATAGCTAAGGTGTGACGCTTTACACTCAGGGGACATTTGCGCTTCAAGAGTAATAGGATCACATCCCCCTGAAGCTTTAATAAAGTAAATCTAAGAACTCATCACATTAAACTATTTAAAAGAAATATTATAAATATCAAGAATCTTATAAATATCAAATCTATTATTATAGAATTATATAGTAATAATATATGTGTGTTTGATGGGAATTTACACAATACAGAAAATTAAATATAAAAAAAGTACATCTTAAATAAAATATAATAAAATATATAAAAAATAAAATTAATTTCAGTTTTAATTATTAATAATATAACCGCAGAGAGAAAGAATAAAATTCAATGAGGATCATGAGAATCAATTGCTATTAAAGTATGAATATTCCTTATATAGAAACATTAAACCTTTAAACCATTAAAAACTTCAAGCTCCGTTTTGAGACTCTTTTATCAGCTTTGTTGCTAAGAGAGATATATGGCTAATAAGGAAGGAAAGTAATAACAGAAATTTCCTCAAAGATCAAATTAATTTCAAATACTGCTCCATTTTTACACGTTCATTAAACACAGAATGTTATTTTTAATCTTTCTTTTTTTATAAATACAATCCAAAAATATATCAAGTATATGGTCTATAAATATGACAATCACCATAAAACAGATTAAAAAGTACTCCTTAGAAATTAATAAAAAATTTATATATATAAAATATATAAATATAATATATATACTTATATATATAATAACTAACTCTTTATCTATATATAAATACATATATAATTTATATATAGGTATACATATAATACAAATTAAGATTCAATATGTATATTATTATATGAATCCAAAACTAAAATTTGACTTCTAAACGATATTAAGCTTGTATTAGAAACATTTCAAATGGAATATTAAATCTAATCTTCTTCTTTCTAACATAATGTGATAATAAAAGCTTTTGGAGCAACATTTCTGGCCATAGAATATGGCAAAATTTAATTGTTTACCTTTACAACACTCTGTGCAATTGTAATTTATATATTGAAATTTCCATGAGATTTTAAATATTAATCTATTAATATATCTTGAACAAAATTCATATAGATTACATACCTTCACTGTATAACTAATTCCTTCCTTGCTTACTAGATGATCCGGATGCAACCATCCTCTGGCTGGTTTACTGATAAAACTACTGCTACCTGCGGCCATTGCTAAATTGACAATTAAATACAAGTGTCATTGTTGCATTATTTCCAGATAAACATACGTGACCGCTTGACTTTGAGCTAGATACCTATTTCCTCGCAAAATTATCACTCCCAACCGTTTACGAACCGTTCAAGAAACAAATATACATCCCAAGAATCCTGGAAATATCACATCGAGATATTGTTCGAAATGTATTAACAATATGCAAGACAATAATAAGTCTCGCCGAAGCTTAACATTAACTTTCACAGTAACGCGGCTGCAACGTCACAATTTAACGATACCTCCACGACTTTCGAGAAACGCCGAGGGCAGGAAAATACGAAGCGTTTTTATCAAGCTCAAAGTCAATGCGAGGCAAAAGTGCAGTGCACGAGGCGAGAGACGCCTAGATGTTTGAATCCGTGTAAATCACGCCCAGTGCCACTAACTTTTTTTTTTAAACTGTCAACGCCAGATCGCGATCGGTCTGTCGCGCCGAGAACACTCGGTGATCACACATTACCTGAACGGAATCGGGATGGAACGGATCCACCGAACGGATTCACCAGCGATCCGACCGTTAAATTAATTGGTCAACGACACGAGGAGTTGTTCATCGGCACGAGGAGTGTCTGGCCGCCGAACGGATCCGACTCGTCACCGATGATTCTGACGAATCTGACGTCTATCGAGTGCATGGGAGAATGGATCATTGACATATACCCACCATAGGCGTGAACTAGCGTGCTGCCCGACCGCTCGACCAGGCGCACGTACGCAGCGATTTAAAATTCGTCTCTTGATGCGGCCGTTTGATTGGCCGGATCCGACGGTATGCCCCAATTGGCCGCAATCATCCGAATATCAATGAAATATCGTAGGTACGTTCGTATGAAACCGGTATCATTTTTGTTAAGCGTGGGACCCAATTGCCCATGTCGTCGCAATTGGCCGATTTAAAGGCTACGCTCCAAAATTTTGCTTCTGAGAAAATTTTTATCAAAAAGCTATAGTTTACGTATGTTATAGGTTTTTAGAAAAATTTTCCTCAAAAGCAATTAACGTTTTGGAATGTAAAATTTTCTGATTGGTTGGTCTAATGGAAAAAGTCCAGTCACGTACTGATCGCTGCGATTAATTTGCAAAGTGATTAAACAGAGCGCTCTCAATGTTAATTAATGGAAAAAATAATTGACGTTTTGACTTCTTTAGTATATAAAAAAATGTTTAAGAACAGGATTTATAATTCAATATTACAAAATTATTTCAAGTCCGATCTTAAATAGTCCAATTACCCGATCGCCTCGCTCGGCACGTCAAGTGCGTGAACCAGACATTAAGTGCCGTTCCGCAGTACCAGGCGGTGCATCTATGTATTTACGAACGTCGGCCATAATTGAGTGGAGCGGCGTGTTCGGCGTGCCGCTCGTTCCTTTTGCGTTTGTGCGTTGTACGGTAGACGAGGTACGTACGGAGTAATCCGTTTCGATCGGCAAATTAACGTAGCCGGGAGTGATTCAGAATGACCGAAACTCTACAACTGAGAGGCACGCTTCGCGGTCACAATGGATGGGTCACGCAAATCGCGACGAACCCGAAATATCCGGACATGATATTGTCCTCTTCACGTGGCAAGTATCGCCGTACCGCGGCCTTACCTCCTTTCTTCCGAGTCCCCCCTTTTCTTCATGATTCTACAGCGAAATTGTGATTCTTTTTCAGTATTTTAATTCGCTAATATATTCGCTCCATTTTTTTTACTATAATTTTGTCGCGCTACTAAAAACACGATTTAATTTAATTGGTAAACTTTACGTATCATGTAATTGATGCAATAATCCATCTGTTCGTTATTATACCAACTAAGAAATTAAGGATGATTCTGTCCAAACCTTGAACAACTGGCCGTATTAGCTTCAGTTTTTAAGTGTAGGGATCAGATATCCCCCCCCCCCCTCTAAAGAAGACCAAACTTTGAACAAAAACCTAGCACATATATATAATTATATACAAAATATCTTTACATAATTTATATGTATGTGCTAGTTTATTTTTTCCAAAATTCACGGGTTACAATTTATCTCATATTCTTACTTATACTCTCCAAATTCTCTAATTGGTCTTTTATGCAGAGTTTCGGACCCACGCCATTCATTTAAAAACGAGGGAAGTGATTTTTATCAAAAAACTCAACAAATTCTTAGCAAAATGGACCATCCGGACCCCATAAAGTTACTAAAAAAATACCATGTTTTATTTTTAAAAATCGATTTTTGCTTTAAATAGCTCATTTCCGTTTGGAACCGGAAATTGAAAATATCACCATTTGATAGAGTGTATTTGATTTACTTATCAAAATTTTTGGCTTTTTTTATAAAGATGACTTCCCTCGTTTTTAAATGGGTGGCGTGGGTGGTCTGAGACACCTTATGTTGTATACCAAGGCATAGGTATAATCTGAGGGATTGAACACACGCATGTGACTCTCAGACTATAAATTGATCACTGTATACAGAGGCACGCATCATCCTATTAAAAAAGCTTCTATTCTCAGCATATTAAAATTAATTTCAATTAAATAATTCCTATGTACTACGTCGTGGCAGGCTAGATTGCAATATTTGCTATTCTAATTAATTTAATTAATAGAATTGCTTGCTGCAAAATTTCTAATTATATTATTCATTTTCCTCAGTTAAATCTTTTTTTCATTGATATTAAATAAAAAGTTATTTATCCATGTTAATAAAGTACAAGTTTTGCTGATTAAGTTAATTAAAGTCGAAATTAATCCTAAATTCTTGAAAGTGATAACGGCGTTTTATTTATATCATTATTTTTCATTCTAGATAAGACTTTGATCGTATGGAAATTGACTCGTGACGAGGCTAACTATGGTATCCCACAGAAGCGTCTCTATGGCCACTCGCACTTCATAAGCGATGTGGTCCTTTCGTCCGACGGTAACTACGCTCTGTCCGGCTCGTGGGACAAAACGTTGCGCCTTTGGGATTTGGCGGCGGGCCGTACGACTAGACGATTTGAAGACCATACCAAGGTGTGACTTCGCTCTTCCGCGTCACGACGATGCGCTTTCTTTATTTCCTTCATAATAGAGATAGAAGAAAATTTTCTCATATTACGATGGGTATCTCTTCATAATATGAGATCTTTTTCACTTGTGTTTATTACGATGGAAAAGAGACAATATTCGCGGGAAATGTACTGAAGCTTTTTTTTTTATTTTTTTTTTACGGAAAAATAGAAGAGGTAGGCACTGATTAAATCGGTGACACCGTAAGTATCGATCCGATATTTACAAATTGCAGGACGAGTAATACGCAATTGTTTTATTGATCATGAGTTCGGTTTCTGTTGAACACAGGACGTTCTGAGCGTCGCTTTCTCCGTGGACAATCGTCAGATTGTATCCGGTTCGCGCGACAAGACGATCAAGCTGTGGAATACATTGGCCGAGTGCAAATACACCATTCAGGACGATGGGCACACCGACTGGGTCAGCTGTGTGCGCTTCTCTCCGAACCACGCGAATCCCATCATCGTCTCTGCAGGCTGGGATCGTGTTGTCAAGGTGAAAGATAAAGCTTACATTAACAAGATTTATGAACGTAATTGGTTGACGAGCATGATGGATCTTTTATGTTTACACACACATGATGCCTATGAGTGTTTGCGGATATGGGACTGACTTAAATGCTATATAATCTGCTTGGAATCGCACGATGGATTTGTCAGTAATTTCAGCACAATTCACACGCTTGTTGCAGGTCTGGAACTTGACGAACTGCAGACTGAAGATCAATCATAGTGGTCACACAGGGTATCTGAATACCGTTACGGTATCACCTGACGGATCACTCTGCGCATCTGGCGGCAAGGTGCGTATCACATTATATGAAATATTCTATCTATCGTTCAAAATACGTTGATCGTATGAATCATATGTCGATTCTGTTCGCAGGATTGCAAAGCTATGCTGTGGGATCTGAACGACGGGAAACATCTCCACACTTTGGACCATAACGACATCATTACAGCGTTATGCTTCAGCCCTAATCGTTACTGGCTGTGCGCCGCGTTTGGACCGTGGATAAAAATCTGGGATCTCGAGACTAAGGAGATGGTCGAGGAACTGAAGCCCGAAGTCGTGTCCGCCACCAGTAAAGCGGAGCCTCCTCTCTGTCTGTCCCTCGCGTGGTCCACCGACGGCCAGACGCTGTTCGCTGGCTATTCCGATAACACTATTCGCGTGTGGCAAGTTTCTGTTTCTAGCAGATAAATACTTTGTAATAAAAACTTAAAATCGATTCTCTTCAACATTATTTATAAGTCTTGTTATTTACAATTAAACGATACATAATATACAATGTCTACGATGTACAGAATCACGAGATGACGTGTGTAGGTCCACTATCGTCCTGCAAATCGTTAACTGCAATCACGCCTACTTGTCCTTACTCTCTTCTAATTTGTTAACCTTGTGCTCGAATTTTTGAAATTCTTTCTCGGCGATCTTGTCCGTCTCGTCCTCCACTTGTATAACCCCGAGTACTTCGGGGATGTAGAACTGCATCATGTTTTGCACGCCGTTCCTCAATGTTACTACCGAGCTTGGACAGTTGGTGCACGAACCTTGCATCTTCAGTTTCACAATGCCCTCCTCGAAGCCCTGTTTTCGATTATAAAAAATATAATGATGCCATTACGTTCGAGATAATGGATAGATGAATCGGTCTCAAATCCTAAAATTCGGGCGAGAAACACTTGCCATAAATACAATGTCACCACCGTCTTCCTGCACAGTGGGGCGTATTCGCGTGTCCAACAACTCCTTTATCATCTGAACAACCTCGTCATCCTCCGCATTAATTTCTACAAAAGCAAAAAAAAAACGATCAGCATTTCATTTTCCCTCGGTTCATCTCGTGCGAAAGTCGAACTGTGAACCGTACGCGTGTCCGCTGCAGGCTGAGAGGTTTCGTCCATGACTGGCAGTCCGCTCGCGAAAAAGTCCATGATGGTGGCAAATATCTCCGGCTTCAACAGCTTCCACTCCACGTCCTCGTCGAGTTTCGTGACCGTGATGAAGTCGGGCCCGAAAAATATCGCCTTCACTCCCTCGATGCGAAATAACATTTTCGCGAGCGGCGAGCAGTACGCGTCCTTGGCACTCGGGAAGTCCTTCGTACATCCCTCCCCCAATACCGGTACTCCTGGGACAAATTTTAGGCTGTTCGGGTTCGGCGTGTCTTGCGTTTGGATAAACATGCCGCGTCTCTGTTGGCTTTGTATCAGGGGGCTGCGTTTAGAGGACAGCGCGCCGACTGTTCCATCGCCGTGTACGTGCCTGATGCTAACGGGGAGAGCCCTGAAAATAACATGCATAAATAATTAAACTGTTTTATTAACTCTCTTCTCCACAAAAAAAAAACAGATATGACAAAAGTTTTTGCAAAGTATCTATTGCAAATTTAATTCGCAGATTGCCAGCAAAAATCTACTAACAGAATACAATGGCAATTTAATTGAAGAAATTCGATTAAGAAGAATCTGCCATTTTAATCACTGAAATGATACAGCTTTTATAAATAAGAAAATAGTAAATTCCATTCAATTTCTGCTGTTAAAAATTGAACACGAGCTCAAAATGCAGATAAAAATGATACTAATTTGTTGCAATATTCTGCGCGAATCTCTCTCTCTCTCTCTCTCTCTTTCTCTCTCTCTCTCTCTCTCTGCTGACAAATCTCTAGCTAATATTTTGCTTCTGCCGTACTTTCGTATTTTGTAAAAACAAATATTATGTTTCATCGACAAAGTTTATAATAAATACTTCGCCAAATCAAAAAATTTAACTGATCATAGAGATCTTTGTAATACAGATATATGCAGAGAATTTTTCATATGCGTGGAGAGAGAAACAACAAAATTACAAGCCTTACGTTGAATATTCTTGCGACAATGACATCCTACTGACCGCAGGTACATCTCGCTTCACAAGAAGTTTATTGGATGTCCTGTAAAACGTATATGCTGTTTACAAACTTATCACATCTGTCAGTAGAAATATATACACAGTGAAAGTGTATCCATTCGATAAAAAAAATCAATCACTCACTGCATGCATTGCTCGTTCGTTAACGTTCTATACAAAGCCGGCCGGCTCGTATGAAG